ATAGCCATGCCGCTGCAGTGAGACACCGCGGTGCGGTGAGGAAGGAGCGCATCCCCGAGGGCGCAAGAATGAGCACACAGCACACCCATCGAGCGGCCGGAGTCACACCAGGTAACTCAGAACCAGGGCCACTTACTTCTTCACGAAAACCCAGCAGGCGATGCGTCCTTGGGTCCACTTTACATATAGAGCTTGACGCTCAGAGAGTCACTTGCCTGAGGTCACACAGCCAGTCAGCGGCAGAGGGATGGTGCGAATCCAAGTCCTGTGAGCCCAGCCCTCCTGACCAGGTCGGGGACAAGAAGGCACTCTGGCAAACTTTAACCAAAAGAGATGGGTGGGGGGAGACTTCCCTGGTGGCCAGTGGTTAAGACTCTGGGCTTCCACTGCCGGGGGGCATGGATTAGGTACTGGCCAGGGATCTAAGATCCGGCATGCTGCGAGACACAGCCAAAGCAGAAGCGGGGCAGGTACCCTCAAAAGGGAGCACAGGGTGGGGGCTGGTTCCCAAGTCACGTCCACGTCTTCGAGCTCCTTCCCTGCTCACCCACCATCTGCTCTCCACCCCGGAGCCCTGCCTGCACCCCGCTCCACTCCAGACTCCACGCTCACACGCCTCCCATGCACCCCTTGATCTCATACCAGACCACAAGGACCCCCACACTGCCCACCTGCTGACACCAGGGACAGAAAATAACACCATCCTGCGGGGACTGCCCGCTGCTACACACACACCCCCCTGGGGGCCCAGCACAATCAAGGTCTCAGCCAGGAGGGCCCCCGGCCCCCAGGTGCTCCCCACCCACCTTCCAGCCTGGCTCCTCCACCCTGCCACATTGTCTTCACACCAAACAGTTGCTTAAAGTAGATTTGCCAAATGACTCCATCACTGAAAACTGCCAGACATCATAAAGCAGAGAGGACCCTGGACCCTTGGCCTCTAACGCTTATAAACGCCCTGATTTTCAAGACACCACAGTAAGAAGGTCAGGAGACACGGACCCCCGTGGCCACGACAGCAGCCATACTCTGCCGCAGGGGCCACCTCCACTGCCACCCCACCGTAAGGGATGGACGGCACAGTGGACGGGGCTCCTGGCCGCAAGCAAGGCGGCCCAAGACCATGTCATTGCCGGCAGCACACATCACCCTCCCCGGGACGGGACTGACAGGCAGCATGGCAGTCAGGGAGGGGGTCTCAGAGAACTGCCGCCAGCGGGTGGGTTTTCCAGGAACACAGTCCCTGCGCCTGAGCAGCCTCCCAAGGTGGACCAACTGCGCCCCCATGTGGTCATGCGATGTCACCGCCGGCTGGCGGCTCCCAGGTCCTCTCCACCCGCCACCGCCCCGCGCAGGGCGCCTTCATCTACTCCACTGACACCCACTACGCGACAGAACCACGGCCCAAGTCAACGGCATCACTCAGACGCCCTCTGTTCCAAAACTCGTGGGATGGCCTTACTTGGGAAATCTAAACTTCCTGGGCAAAAGAGACCTGGGCAGAGGCCACGGAGCACGCAGCTGAGGCCAGGTACAGACTAGTCCCCTCGGGGTTCCAGGCCAGGAGACATGACCCCGAGGGTGAGCGGGCAGCAGACACTCACCAGGACACACCCACCTCCACCACACCCTTTCACTCAGCTCTGCCTGCCTTCTGAGACCCCCGGGAAGCCTGTTGCCTAGAGCCTGCGCTGCCAACGTGTGCCGGTCTGGTCCCTCCCTCCAAGGTCCCAGAAAGGGGCTGCCCACGCCCTTCAGGCAGCCCACCTGGACCCGTGCCACATGCCCAGCATTAAACTGGGAGCTTTAGACAGAGCTCTGGGCGTTTGTCCCACCCGAGAAGCTTCAGCCATAGGTTTCAGGAGCTTGTCAAGAGGAAAGAGGTTCAGAGGGGTCAAGTGCCTTGCCCAAGATCACAAAGCTGTTGGTGATGGAGCCGGCACCAGGCCCAGTTCAATTCAATTCAGTGGCTCAGTCGTGTCCAACTCTCTGTGACCCCATGGACTGCAGCATGCCAGGCCTCCCTGTCATCACCAACTCCCGGAGTTTACTCAAACTCATGTCCATTGAGTCGGTGATGCCATCCAACCATCTCATCCTCCATCGTCCCCTTCTCCACCCGCCTTCAATCTTTCCCGGCATCAGGGTCTTTTCAAATGAGTCAGTTCTCCACCAAGCCCAGATCATTCTAAGTAACTCCAGGGGCCAGCCCACCAGGGACACTGCCCACCAAGAACCCTCCAGGGGGGCTCCTGACCAAAGCAACAGACCCCCACAGCCCCCTAGAGCTGCAAGCCCCCAGCAGAGAAGGCCCAGGCCTTGCAGAGGACGGGGCAGGGGGGTGTCCAGGGCACACCAGGGATGCCAGGACCTCCTGAGTCAACCACAGGGCCCCAACCTCTCGGAGAAAGCACCACAGATGTGTGTGCCAACCCCAGGGCTCCAGACTAGAGACAGGACCCGATGCTGTCCCCACAGAACTCCGTCAGCCTAGCAGACGTGAACACAGACACATCATTTCAGGACTCAAACACGCCACCTAAAGTGACATTCACTGATGGAGCTCCTTGCCAAGACTTCACTGCACTTAGACTTCCTGTCTCGGCTTAAGAAAATGCCTCCTATGCGAAAAGCTCAAAACAAACCTTGCAAATACAATGTTCTAGGCAGAAGGGCTCCAGAGCCATGAGGACAATGCGGGGGTGGTGTGGGGAACCTATGTCTACTGGGCACCTGTGGGGTTCCTGCTCTGTGCCATGGGCTTTGGAAGTGAGTTCTCACGTGATCTCGTGGCCCAGGTACTGAGCATAATCAGGCCCTCACAGATGAGACTCTGGGACTTGAACTGGGCAGCTGGGCCACTGACCAGCTCCTCCACAACCATGATCCGCAACTCCAAAGCCACCTTCTCCCCAGACAGCTTTTGTTCGGATCACGTGTATTTAGCACTTACTGTGTACTGAGACGTCACTTTGCCGACAAAGGTCTGTCTAGTCAAAGCTATGGTTTTTCCTGTAGTCATGTATTGATGTGAGAGTTGGACTGTAAAGAAAGATAAGGGTCAAAAAATTGATGCTTTTGAACTCTGGGGTGTTGGAGAAGACTCTTGAGAGTCCCTTGGACTGCAAGATCAAACCAGTGGATCCTAAAGGAAATCAGTCCTGAATATTCATTGGAAGGACTGATGCTGAAGCTGAAGCTCCAATACTTTGGCCATCTGATGCGAAGAGCTGACTCATTGGAAGAGGCCCTGATGCTGGGAAAGATTGAAGGCAGAAGGAGAAGGGAATGACAGAGGAATGAGATGGTTGGATGGCATCACTGACTTGATGGACATGAGTCTGAGCAAGCTCCGGGAGTTGGTGATGGAGAGGGAAGCCTGGCGTGCTGCAGTCCACGGGGTCGCAAAGAGTCGGACACGACTGAGCGACTGAACCGAACTGATGTACTCTGCTTGTGCTTCCCAGATGGCCCTAGTGGTAAAGAACCCGCCTGCCAATGCAGGAGACGCAGAGACGCAGGTTCAATCCCTGGGGTGGGAAGATCCCTTGGAGAAGCAACTGCCACCCACTTCAGTATTCTCACCTGGGGAATTCCATGGACAGAGGAGCCTGGCGGGCTACAGTTCATGGGGTGGCAGAGAGTCGGACACGACTGAAGTGACTTAGCATGCGCGCACATGTGCTGTACTTCGCTGGGCTGAGGAGAGCGAGGAGGTCCAGGTCCATTAAACAGACCTTCACCTTTAAAAGCGCCATTAAAAGTACAGGTCTCCTGGGCTCCCCCGGGGGCGGGAACAGACAGAGGACAGTCCGGGGGCCGGAGGCAGCTTCCTGGCAGGTGTGACACGCCTGCCACACTACCTACCCGTGGACTGGGCGCCGCTTACTATAAGTCTGCCTTACTTCAGGAGCTTTCCATATATGTGTGTATAATTTTAGTTATTTACTTCTTTATTTCTGGCCGTGCTGGGCCTTCGCTCTGTGCCTGGCCTTTCTCTGGATGCAGGCTTCTCGCGGCAGAGGCTCCTCTCCCCGCAGAGCACAGGCTCAGAAACTGCGTGCCCCGGCTGAGCTGCCAGGTGGCATCTGGGATCTTCCCAGACCAGGGACTGAACCCGCATCTCCTGCACTGGCTGGCGGGTTCTCTACCACTGTGCCGGAGCCCAGGGTTTTTTTTTTTTAATGGAGCTTTTAAAATAAATAAATAACAACCCAAAGAGTTTCTGTGTAAACCAGAAGTCCCCAGCAGGGTACCCGAGGCCCTCCCTGATGTGACGCTGCCTTCTTCCCCAGCGCCTCCCCCCACCCCTGCCCCCGTGGGCCCCTTACGCCTCCCCTGCTTAGAGCCAAGACCGCCTTCCGCCCAGCCCACCTGAAGACTCACCTGCTCCCTCCGGGACGCCTTCGCCAAGCCCTCCTGGCTGGGCGGCTGCCCCCACCCCCCACCCCGGTGCCTGCAGTCGTGGAACCCCGTGGAGCCCCGGGCTCACAGCCCCGACCCGGGCCTGTGAGCACGTCTCTGCGGCCCCTACCCCCATGTACCGGTCTGGAAGCCACGGTCAGGTCTAGGGGCCTTCCCACCCCCTCACCCAGCACAGTGCCGGACACAGCGCCACCACCGCTCCACACTCAGCGGGGGTCACCGAGGAGTCCCTGGGATCTGGGTCCGCTTTCCTCCCTTCTCACTCAGCGATCTCCCTCTCCCAGGGTGGGAGAGGGTCTGGGCGTCCTCGGGGGCCCCCATGAGGATGACCCACATGAGGTTTAGACTAGGGTCCTCCGGTGGCCTGGGCAAGGCAGCATTGGAGGGGTTGCGGGGGGCAGAACAGACCAGCCATCCAAGCGGGCAACTGAGAGCCCTCACCCGAGGGCAACAAAGAGGATCCCAGGAATTCCTAGAAAGCAACATCCAGCGTGCAGCCGGGCCGACCTTGCCGTGGGGAAGAATGAAACATCCCAGCAGCTCATCCCCAAGAGCCGCTTCACTCAAGGCCTCACCTTGAAGGTCTTATCCATAGACGTCGACAGAAGCAGGTGGCTCCTGGCAGACACGGGACACCATTGAACGCTGTTGACAGGGCCTTGGTGGCCCCGCAGGTGGAACAGCACCTTCTTGGGAATCTTGGTTTCCTTATACTGACTGTCCAGGTACGGCTGGATAAACTCAGAAGCTTCGGGGGCCACACAGAGCGGGGCTGGGACACGGCCGGCGTGTGGACCCTGGGCCTCCGCATCCTTGCCCCTGTCTGCTCCTGTGTGTGGCGCCGGCAGCGGCCTCAGTCTCTTTGGGGTATAAGGTACCACACAGTCCTCACACCGCTTCCTCTGCAGGGAGCTGCCGCTTTTCCCTGGGCCTTCAGACCCCGCTCGGGCACCGACAGATAGCTCGGGGGAGCCGGAAGTTTCCCAGCAGACTCTCACCTGCTTCAAGCAGGCCCCTGCCAGGGGCACGTGGCCCGCGGGGGCCTGGCTGGTCCACAGGGAGAGACGGGCCGGCAGGCTGGCGGGGAAGGCAGCCTCGGGCTCCGGCCTGGGCCACTGAAGCCTCTGGCTGGGGCAGGACCCCGGGTCCTGGCTCCAGAGCCGAGCCAGCGGGAGACGACACCTGGCAGGGTCATCATGAGAGCCACGCTCTGGGGATGGTGCCCGCCCGCCTGTTGCATCCAGGACTCTGGATCCAAAATCCTGCCCCGGAGGTCTGACCGCGGTTGAAGTGTCTTCCATCTGGCTGGCTGGATGGAAACCCCCCGCAAGCTCGGTCTCGGCCTCTGAGTCCGAGTCCTCGTAGGCCACCAACGAAGCCATTAAAGACACAGTTTAGCGTTGTCCTTCAAGGGCAAACTTCCCTAAGGCCAAACAAAGTCAAGTGTCAGAAGACGTGCGTGATAGAACATTTCCTGCCATATGCAGTTAAAAGCAAATGTGCCACCAAGCAAATCCAAGATTGAAATACCCATGAGGGTGCTGCTGCTGCAGCTGCTAAGTCACGTCAGTCGTGTCTGACTCTGTGCGACCTCATAGACGGCAGCCCACCAGGCTCCCCGGTCCCTGGGATTCTCCAGGCAAGAACACTGGAGTGGGTTGCCATTTCATCCCCCAATGCATGAAAGTGAAAAGTGAAAGTGAAGTCGCTCAGTCCTGTCTGACTCTTAGCGACCCCATGGACTGCAGCTTACCAGGCTCCTCCGTCCATGGGATTTCCCAGATGAGAGTACTGGAGTGGGTTGCCATTGCCTTCTCCAACCCAGGAGAGTAAACACATTAAAAATGAGGCCTTAGGGGGAGGGAGGTTCAAGAGGGAGGGGACATAGGTATACCTCCGGCTGATTCATGCTGCTGTTTGGCAGAAACCAACACGATGTTGCAGAGCAATTATCTTTCAATTAAAAATAAATTAAATTTTTTTTTAAATGAGGCCTTGGGACTTCCCTGGTGGTCCCGTGGTTAAGAATCTGCCTTCCAATTCAGGGGACATGGATTCAATCCCTGGTCGGGGAACTAAGATTCCAAATGCCAAGGGGCAACTAAGCCCACTTGCTGAAAATAGAGAGAGAGACCTGCCCCACAACTAGAGAAGCCTGCACTCTGCAACGAAGACCCAGGTGCCATAGTCAAGATTCAGTGCAGCCAAAAATAAAAAAAATGAGGCCTTGTCTATGCACCAAGTATAATTAGTTAGAAGATACAATTTTTTTTAATGAAGACTATGGAATATCTGGGAATAAATCTAACAACAATAACAAAAATAGCAAGACCTACACAAAGAAAACTAAATTTACTGAAAGACATAAAGGAGGACTTGACTCAATGGACACAGGATGCCTGGACAGAAAGACTCATGGTTTTAACGAGGCCTTTTGGAAGGTCCATTCAGGGAGGATCTACTACAAATTTAAACAGATAGTTTTTACTGCAACAACCCCACGTTAGAACTCTAACACTAGCACATGTTTGCAGAGATAGGTATACAGAGGGCCTGAGGCATGGTTTATAAGTAACAAACGAGAAGAGCAAACACTCATCAATATGAATGAAGTTAATTCTGAACATGCTGAAACAGAAAGATGACCAGGATCTGCTTGCAAAAGCAAGCCGTCCTCCCACTGTGCTCCAGGCCTTCCTTCTATTCTCTCCACCTAGAACACTCTTCCCCAGACATCCCATCTCAACAACAAGCCAGTGTAGACAGACAGAATTACAGCACAGGGCCGAGGTACTTGAGGCATCAGTCCCCCCCATTCCCAAGGTGCGATCCAAATCCACCTGTTTCACTCCAAACACACGGACTCACACAATAGTCTATTTCCCCTTTCTTAAAAACTCTTCCTGTAATTCTGAAACATCACACATGATCAATTGAAGCCAAGGAATTTCTACAAAGAAGCACCTCCTTCTGGAACTCAACGCTGTGGAGTTAACAGGAAGCAGAGTCAAGAGGAAAACAAGGGTGCTGCACATGTCCAGGACAGCAGAGGGCGAGGTGGAGCAGCACCCAAAGCTCCAGCAGCAGGCGACTTCCCAGAAAGCCCAAGTGTCCTACCTTAACAGACCATCCTGAGTTCCTCTTCCCACATGTGGGGTCAGGTGAGACCTGAAGATTCCCTGGGGGGCCTTGGTTACACCATTCCAGACAGACTGTCTATCACTCACGTCCTCCCCGGACGGTGGCTTTCATGTCCCCCGGAATCAACCATCCCCACCTTTCCCATAACGGGTACCATCTGCCTGAAGAGCTCCACCGCCAAACCAGTTACATCATCATTCAGAAAATGTCTGTGGCCTGCCTCCTCCAATAATCCAACTTCATCTGTAGCCCAATCCAGGCAGGTAACACCTACATACAGAGCCACTGTCTAAATAAAACTTCCAACCTGAGCCAGCCCATCTCAGATGGAGCTAATATAACACAACGGACTAATTATAAACTAACGGAACAGTTGCACTGCAAAGGATTTGGCATTACCATAATGACTCAGTCCTGTCCTAAAACCTAATCAGACATCTCATCTGTCTCAATTCCTATGTAGAGCACAACTCACCACAGAATCCCATACCATCCCGCCAAAGGGAACCCACCAGGTTCCCACCATGAAGGCACTCAGCCTCTAGGATGGACTCCTACCCACCCAGCTGTTCAGTCAAAGGAGAGGCAGGTGGCCAGAACTAATGATGAGGTCTGTGGAAAAAGATCAGAGAGTAGAGGCCATGAGGCCCTCTTCCTATGAGGCCCACTTCCTACGAGGCAAGGCAGCAAGGACTGAATGAATGCAGGCACGTGTGCATTAGGGCTTCCTATCTGCTTCATGTACATTTCATTCTGTCCTTCAACAAATACCAACAGCGCAGGCCCTACCAGCCAAGCCCCAGCTCACCATGCCAGTGCAGACAGACAGACCAGAACCAAGTGAGACAGAACATGTCCAGAGGTGAGAAATCCTAAGGAAAAAGGCAGAGTAGAAAAGAAAAGCAGGCGTGATGGTGGGCTTGGGATTGCAGTTTTACTGCAATTGGGAGGCCGGGGCAGGCCTCAGGCAGAAAACAATAATCTGAAGGTGAGGAAGCATAGGTGATAAGAAACACCGAAGATGGAACCAACAAAACTGATCAAAATGGAGCGGGAGAGAAGGCAAGCATGAGTCAAGGAAAAGAGGCAAAAACGGAGAACAAAATAAACTCTAGAGAAAACTGTTTGCTGCCTTTTATGTGTCTTAAGGCAAAGGAGGGGGAAAGGAAGTTTTGTTGTTGTTGTTTTTATGCAAATGAAGGAGCCATTAAACCAAGAACAGACAGAAGAAAAAGTCAGGTCTTTGGAAAAATAAGGCTACAAAAGGGGAGAGAGTGCCACGGACAGTCATCAACATGTCAGCTCCACCAAAACATAGGGCTTTCTGTGTTTTGTTCACTGTTTAAATCACCAGCATCTAGAAATATTTGTAAATTACAACCCGGTGGGAGGGGGGACACAGAGAACGTAAAAGGAATAGGATGTGATCATTCAACAAATATTTCCTGATTACCTACTCTGTGCCAAGCCTTATGTCAGGGTCTTATGGACTGAGATGAAACACAAAACACAGATCCTGCGCCGGAGGCTAAGACTGATGAAGGCCACTAACAAGATACGACCAGGGATGGGTTTTGAAGAATGAATAGGAGTTAGCTGGGCTGTCAGAGGGAGAGGTGAGGATCGTCAGGAATGAGCAGTGAGGACCGTCCAGGGCACTGCGCGCTCGGAAGGAACCGGAGATACAGGGAGACAGATACACGCGAAGGGGCGGGCAGCGCTCCGGCCGCCGCCAGATCGGAGTCCCCTCCCGCCCCCGGCCCCCAGCTCACCACACGCACCGGAAGCTCTCGGTCCTCCAGAGGGTTGTCCGGCCTGCGCCCTGAAACCCGGGAGCGTTCCGCCGTTGCCGGAACCGCCAGCCAATCAGCGGCGGCCTCCGTGCTAACAGCCAATGAGGGCGCAGCCTAGCCGGAAGTTGTTCCAGCCGGAAGGCGTTTCCAAGGACGCCTAGGAGGCCACCCGTGGCTGAGCCGGCAGCGCTGACGGGCCTGGTTGGGCCGGTAAGTGTGGGTATGAAAGAAGCAGGGGGGTAGGCCGGGGCGGAGCCCAGTGACCTGGCCCTCCCGGAGCCGCTTGCACGCCAAACCCCGAGGTAGTCTCCTCAGAGCCCGGCTCTCTGCTCACCGGCTTCTGGTTCCTCGCCCCCTTTTCCCTCAGCGTCGCCGACCCTACCCTGTCGCGTACTCGCGCCGGCACCAGCCCTTCATCGTCTCGCTCCTGTTTCGTTTCCCCGAAGGATGAGGCCCCCACTTTTAACAAGCGTCGGCCGTGTGACAGGGGCTTCGCCTGTGGTAACGCACCTGGTCGCCGCCTCGGTGAAGTTGTGTGTTTAGTCACTTCAGTCATGTCCGACTCTTTGCGACCCCCACCGACTGTAGCCCACCAGGCTCCTCTGTCCATGGAATTCTCCAGGCAAGCATACTGGAGTGGGTTGCCCTGCCCTCCTCCAACGGTGAAGTTAGGAGGCTGCTTTTTTGCCCATTTCACAAGTGAAGAAACGGGGGGTGAAGCAGAGAGGTGATGTGATTTGCGCGAGGTCTTATAACAAAGAAACGCCCAAACTGGGATTGAAAACCCAGGTCTCATCCCAGAACTTAGTGGTCTCCGCTGCACTGCGTCGTTTCTGTGAGTAGCGGCGGCAGCGGCAGCAAGGAATTTGCCATCTGCTTTTCCACCCCGCCTTCCCCGGCTGCCACTGCATAACAGACACAGTTCTTCACACTGATGTCAAGAACGAGAACAGGGAACAGAAACAGGGCGAGGAGGTTATAAGAAGGCCAGCCTGGGGTGTAAAGTGGCTGATGCAATGACCAGCCAACAGCTTGGTTCTCAAGAGCCTTTCCCTGGTCTCCACCCGCATCCCCCGCCCTCGTCTTTCTGACAGCCTCACCTAAGAGGTTGGTCATTAGGTTCAAGTGTTTCTGAGAAACTGGGTCGTTTATAAGAAACTCCTACATGCAAGTGATAGAGGGTGGGGCAAACAGGAAGCCAAAAAGGGAGAGAGAAAGTCTTTTTTGAAAAGGAAACTGAAAGAAAGAGGGCAAGACTATTTAAGAGCTAGAGCTGCACTGGGCAGTCTCAGCTTCTCAGCTCCTGGGCGTGACCATTGGCCACTTCTGCAGTGTCTCCTGCCCCCTGGTACGTATTACCATCTTTTGCTAGAATTAAAGAGTTTATTGGGTATTGTTACCAGCTTTTTCCCAAAGTGCTGGAAACCCTGGCTTCAGGGATGGGAAGTAGTCTTAGGACCACAGCATTGTGCATTTCATTCATCTATTGACCCAAAGCCCTGGTGACTCACAACTACTGTAAGGAATAGAGATCCTGAATGAGCCACTGCCTGTTTGGGGTCATAGCTTGACTTTCAGCACTTTGATGTTGGCTGTCCTGTTTCTCATTGATGAAGTCTCTTTAAGTAGTCCATATCCATCCACAGTATCTTGCCTTGAACTCCTAACTAGCTTATGCCTGGCTTCGTATAGATTATGGCTCTTCCCTGGTGGCTCAGACGGTAAAGCACCTGCCTACAATGCAGGAGACCCGGGTTCAATCCCTGGGTCGGGAAGATCTCCTGGAGAAGGAAATGGCAACCCACTCCAGTATCTTGCCTGGAAAATCCCATGGACGGAGGAGTCCATGGGGTCGCAAAGAGTCGGACACGACTGAGCGGCTTCACTTGCCTTTTAAGATAATGTTCATCTTATCATTTAGAGGGTAAAGTAAGCTTTCCTCTCAGTATTTAAAAGACAGGGAGTTCCACCTGTTCCAAGGTTTGAAGCATTAAAGGACTCATTGCTAGAAAGAAATCATTTTCTTGTCCTCTGGAAACTTGACAGTCCAAGGCAGTTGTCGTCCACACTCAGGGGCCGGAATGTGGTGGGTGATACCCCACCGGGCTACTGTTCCAGGCACCCGGAAACCCCCTGCTCTTCTCTGCTGCTCCAGGGCTGGCTTTCAGACACGATGCCACCCTCCCCACAAAGTGCAGAATCAGTGTATTCCGATCTGAGGTGTGAGATGACTTCAGAGTGGCCCAAGGAATTGTCATGTTGTAGTTCTGTAATTCCTCTTTCTGTTCCTCATCCCAAAACTGTCCCCGGTTTCTTCAGGGGCCCCTTGTGCTCCTCAGGAACAGTGGGCCTTTCAAAATGAGCTCAAGGTTCAGGTTCCTTAAAAAGAGGGAGGAAGAGTTTGTTTATACGATCCTTTTCATTTTCCCCTAAACTGTCCTGCTCTGCTCTGGAGTAGGCAGTTCTGCTCTGCTCACTCCCAGCCCTTTTTCTAGAGGAGGTCATAGGTTACCTCACAGATGATAGCTTCCTCACAGATGGTTACCTTTGCTTTAGATTGTAGTAGTTGTGAAATAGATAAGGCACTTTCCCTTAATACTCAAGTTTACCTTGTAAACACTGAGGACAATGGTCCTTAGCCTTTGGGCATCTTGGGCCCCTTTGAGAAAGTAGCAGAACCTGGTTATTCTACTTCGAACCACATGTCTGCGTGTAGGCAGACTGTTCACGTCGTTTCAGAGGTTCTGAACTCTGGGTTAAAAACCTCTGAAGTTAAGTTAAATTCTAAAGTTTATTTAACAAAGAAATAAAGGAGAAAGCTGACTAGATGGGAAGGAAGACTGAGAATATATGCCTGTAAGTGGGCTCAATGGATGGACGCCTGAAATCAGGGCAGTGGTAGTTCCAGTCTCTTTGTCTCTGATCACTCCAGAAGTCCTGTACTTATTCAGGAAGTTGCATCAGATAACACACACACACGAGATTTATAGTGTGGCCGATTCCCATGCAGTGAGTGTATGCCTGGTGATCCTGAGAGCAGGGAGAATGCACCTGCTGTTTCCTCAGTCTGGTTTCTTACTTAAATGGGATCCTGATATTTAAAGGTACACGTTTTTCCCTACAACAGGGATCCTAAATTCAGACTTAGTTCGTCTAACTGATCCTCTACAGTTGTTTGCTCCATGACGAGGAGATTGACCGTCCAGGGCTCACTGAGTCATTCTACCTGGCACTTTCCCTAGGAATTGAGTAGGGTAATTTTAATCTATATTTGATTTTGGTCCTGCTCACAGACTTCAAAACCCACCTGTGTCCTTTAATGGAGAACACATATTTGGAAGGACAGGGGGAAACCAAAGGGAATTCTAAAAAGAATGACCACAGTGGGCAGATGTTCACAGTGATTGAGGAAACCAGACGTGGGGTAAAACTAAGGCTCTGTGCACTGTCGGGACATTTTAAGAGGCCTTCTGAAGTCCAGATTGGGGAAATCTACCTTAAACTGGAATAAGTGCTTGCAGAGATATTATAAGAGGATATAAACCGGGGGGGGGGGGGGGGAGGAAATGAGCTAGTTGATTTATGAGATTTATTCAGTAACCTATACTCATAAATCATCATTTTGATAAGCTACTCTGTACCAGGTGCTAGAAGAGCATGAAAGAATAAAACCCAGTGCTTGCATTCTCTGTGGGGTGGATTTTCATAAATTACTACATGCAGTGTGAGTGCTCTAGTAACCTCACTAATGAGTCTTGGGGATTGCCGAGGACAGAGCAGCCAACTTGGCCCCACAGGCACAGGGGCCAGGAAAGTCTGCAAGGAGGAGCCAAGGTCTGTGTTAGTAAGAGAGCGGGCAGAGGAGGGCGGGAAACACTCTAGGCAGAGGAGGCAGTAGGATTTGAGAGAGCACAACATGGTCAAGGCGGCTTTGGCATCAGATCGCGACTCAGCTGCTCTGGCATGGAGCCCCAGAGGGTGGTTCTCATTTGCCTGAGCCATCTGCCTCCAGTCACTAATGCAGAGCAGATTCTGTGCCACCCAGGTTTGCAGCTTGGGAGAATTGGGGATCCTGTGTAAAGCATCTGGATGTGATGTTTGAGCATTTGTGCCTTGAAGTCACTTTGATTGCTCTTTGATATGGGCCTGAGAGTGTCTCCTCTCCAGCACTTGTCAGAAGGTTCGTCCACGTTCTTTCTCTTTCTTATGGACCTCCCTTTCCGGGAATGAGGCAGTTCTCAGAAAGGAAAGGAAAGAAACTGGCTGCTGTCCCATCCTGGTTTTAGCATTATGGTTTCATTGACTTTAAAGATTGGTTTAAATTTTATATATTTTTAAACAGATATTTAACAAATGGATGAGTAAAAATAAATTATCCCCTCACATTTGTGTGTTTTGTTCATAGAGCTCCTAGAAAGAAATTTCTAGTGAGTAAAGAAACAAAATCATCCTTCATTAACCCTCTCCTCTGCGGCTGATGCTATGCTAGACTGCTTCCTTAACCATGTTATCCCACTTAGTCCATGACCGGTCCTGCTGGTCAGTGTCATTCTTGCTCTTCCCACTTCACAGTTGAGAGGCTGAGGCTCATGACAGTTAGGTACCCCATAGGATGATGTTAGAGAGTGTAGGCTCCAGGGTCAAACTGCCTGAGTCTGTGTCCCGTCTCACTGCCTACTTACTGTGTTGGGCAAGTGTGTTAGCCTCTCAGTTTACTCGTCTACACAGCAGACCCAGCGGATCTGTCCCATAGGATTACTGTAGGCATCTGTGAATTGATATGTGTCAGTGTTACCTAAGGTGCTTACAAGGGCTTCCCTTGTGGCTCAGCTGGTAAAGAATCCACCTGCAATGCAGGATACCTGGGTTGGGAAGATCCCCTGGAGAAGGGAAAGGCTACCCACTGCAGTATTCTGGCCTGAAGAATTCCATGGACTATATAGTCTATGGGGTTGCAGAGTCGGACGTGACCGAGCGACTTTCAACTTCACTTCTCACTAGAAGAACACCAGATACAGGACTTCAGCTCTGGAAGTTAGCTGCTCTGGCATAGCCTTGTTGTCACGGGCATTGTCCTTGTTCAAGGTGTATCAGCAGGTTACAGATGGGGCTGGGCTCAGCCGATATCTGGAGTCCTGACATGTAACGCTTGCAGTGGGCTTGTTCCTTTCTTTACAGTCTGTAAAATGCCACCATGTCGCTTTTCTCTCATTTCTTCTCATAACAGCCCTTGAGGTAAGTGATAGACATTTCTGAGGGTTCTGCTTTATAGATGAGGAAGCTGACAGAAAAGGAGAGTAACCAACCCAAGAGGGGCTGATCCTGGCCAGCTTCAGCCCCAAGGCAACCTCAGATAGCCTGCCCTTGCCCCACCTTTTCCAAGGTTAGCAATAAATAATGACTTAATAGGAGGTACAAGGACACCTTCTTCAAAGGTTTGCAGTTAATTAAGGCAACCTGTGGAATGAACAGGCTGTATGTGGTTCTTGCTTCACTTGCAAACCAGAAGGGATAAGGCCCTGCCTCCTCCCAGGCGCCCCTTCTCCTGAGAACAGAGCAGCTGGCCAGCAAAGGAAGCTGTTTGTTCAGTAATATATTGATTATGACTGCAAAGGCCTAGGAATTCATCCCCTAGAGCAATTAAGATAAAGAGTAATTGTAGTTTACCAAGTGTTTCTAGCCATGGTGGACTTTGGTTTACTAAAGCACTTTGGTATCTGCTCCCTGAGCAAACACAAGTCCTTCCTATGTCCTGGGCACTAAGTGAGGTACACGGACACCTCAGCACATCCTAACTTATCCTTGGTTGTGAAAGTGAAGTTGCTCAGTCGTGTCCAACTCTTTGCGACCCCATGGACTGTAGCCTGCTAGGCTCCTCGGTCCATGGAATTTTCCAGGCAAGAGTACTGGAGTGGATTACCATTTACTTCTCCAGAGGATCTTCCCAACCCAGGGATTGAACCCAGGTCTCCCGTATTGCAGGCAGACGCTTTACCCTCTGAGCCACCCGGGAAGTTCCTGGTTGGGAGGGGTCTGTCTTTGCCCTCCCTAAGCCTATAAATCACAGCAGTTCTTTTCAACCCCACCATTAACATTTGTTCTTCCTCTTTTCTCCTATTTCCTGGCTCCATATTTCTGTTTATATTTTTATTAATGTTATATTATCTATGCCCTTTATCACAACTCATCTCCAACCTTTTTGGAAAGAAGAACCAGATATTGGTAAAGGGAAAACAGCTGCCGTGGTTTGTTCATCTCTTTCTGTCCCTCTTCTCTGCCCACAGCCTTGTGTGGACCACCGAGCAAATCTGCCAGCACCCCAACCAGCTGTGAACGTTGTCCCAGAAGAGGCAGAGATGCCCAACAGCGAGCAGGGCTGTGGGTCCCCCCTGGAGCTGTTCCACAGGATTGCTGCTCAGGGGGAGCTCATAAGGGGCCTCAAAGCCAGAAACGCAGCCAAGGTAGGTCATTTTGCCAGTCCTCCACACGCATGTCCCAGCCAGTCTGTAGGACAATGTCACCTGTTTCTGTTCCCTCATCACCTGAGGGATTTTGGCTCTGGTATTAAATGTATTTTCTCCTTACTCAGCATCAATGCCTGTGGTCTGAAGGGAAGCCTCTGGGAAGCACAGCCGCTATCCACCCTTCCTCTCCACATGTCCTGCTCCCAGAAGCAACCAGTTTCAATTCTGTTAGCCAATTCTTTTGATATGCAATGCCCACATCTCTCAGAACCACACATCATTTTGCTCCTTACGGATGTTCAGGTTTGAGGCTTCCACTGTGGAAGACAAGGAGTTAGCCCTCTCCTGAGCACTTTCCACCCCCTAGGCCCCATGTAAACACTGATAACAGCTAACCCCTCTGAGAACAGCGCCAGTGTTTCTCCTTTCCTGCCCGACTTTTGTTTTTTCCAGGGTTGATACATTGTTTTTATTGCCCCTTGCTTGGTTTTTCTTTGTTTTGGCCATGCCTTGCTCCGGTGAGATCTCAGATCCTCCACCAGGGACTGAACCCCAACCATGGCAGTGAGAATTCTAACCGTTAGGCCATCTGGGGCCTCCCCTGCTCAGCTGTTCTGTGTACTGACACTCATGGACCTCCAGGCACTCCCCCAGTTGGGTGAGCCCCATCTCGAGACACATCAGGCCACCGATCAAGTCCATCCTCGCAAGCACTCTCTCCCAGGATGCCCTGCCCGCTTCTGTCCCGGTGGTGATCCGCCTCCCACACAGCCCATCTAAGGACCAACCCTCCCTGTCCATGCAAGCCTTCCACTCTCTCTTTGGGGTCCCTGTTCCTGACCCCGTGTCTCACTCCTCCTCAGTTTATTTTGGCAGAGCAAATCCTCCAGAGGTTTCTGCAAAAATTAGTGCTAAGGAAGTGTTTTTTGAGCTCTTGGCTGGTCTGCAAGCATTGTACTTCATATTTGGCTGATAGCTAGGCTCGGTTGAGAATTCTCAGGAGGATGTGACTTCCCTCAGAACTCTGAACCGTTGCTGCATCCTCCCAGTTCCTGGGGCTGCTGTAGAGAAGCCGGTGCCTCTCCTTTGTCCCCTCTCCTGGGTGTTCAGGACCTCTCCAGTTCCGAATGCCCTGTGTTGGGTGCTCAAGACTCCTTTCAAACTAGAAATACATGCCCTTTAATTCTCAGAAATTTATCCTATTTCGTTGATTTATTCTGGGTTGGTTTTTTATTTTTCTGTTTGTTTGTGTATTTCCTTTTTAGTTCAAAGACTGTGTCCTCTGAATTTCTTAGTTTTTGACTTATTTTCCTTTTATTTTTATTTTTTTCTTCTTTTAGATATGTTTCCTCAACTTCTAACCTGCTATTGTTTTTCACTCATTCTGTCATTTTCAATTTCCAAGAGCTCATTTGTTCTCCAAATGTTCCTTTCCTCTTGGCTCTCTAGTCTTATTTCACCGGTGCACTGGCCTTCTGTCTCTGAGCTCTTGGTGACAGTTTTCCTGATGTTCTCTATCCCCTTTATACACCCAGTTTCCTCCAGCTTAGCTTTTTGTTCCTTCTGCCTTTTGTAGTAGGCCCCATCGTCAGGTGTTCGGTGATACAGCTGTGCACTCACGCTTTGGAGGGCTCATTCAGAGCCGGGAGGAGCTTAGGGTGTAGCCTTCCCTTCCCTGGATGGCACCCACAGCACTCCTTTGCCTCAGGGGGTCTCCAGTGCTGCGTCTTTAGAGCTCCTCTTTGAGGCCAGTAGAGTCCCCAGAGAGGACTCCTCTGGTTCGCTGTCCAGAATGTCCCGGTGTGGCCGCCCACGTTGTGAGCTGAGTAGGGCTGAGGAGCTGGCCACATGGTCCTTCACTGAAGCCCCTGTTAGCCGTGTGCCGCCCCCGACCTCTCTCCCTCACTGTGCAGAACACTTCCGGTGTGGACACTTGACTCTTCTTGTCAAGACACTAAACCTCTGGATGGGGCAGGAGGCATGTACCAGCTGTGGGTGGGGCTAGGTAGAAAGAGCAGCTAGGTAGCTGCTTCTCAGACTTTCAGCTAGTGCTCCTGATCTTAGAGCCCACTCTTACCCTCACTTGTGTTAGTATCTAGGGCCACTGGTGCCCAAGCCTCTTGGGATCCCGAGCAATACAAGTCCAGTCGCCGCCCTGACTCCCCCTGTAGTCTCAGCATGTTGTTCTCCTGTGTTCACTCAGGCTCCAGTCATGCCTCTGCTCTCCAGCTTCTAAAGCTTGTTGCATCCTCTTCCTGTTTCCTTGGTCCTTGTGGGTTATGCCTTTTTTAAAGATCTCTCTGTAGTTTCTATGTTGGGTTTCAGAAAAATAACCCAGTCAGTCTACATCTATAACCAGCCCTTCCTTTCACTCTGGGTCACCCAGCTTCTTCAGCTCCACCGCTTCCTCATCCATCACTTCCAACCCCTGTTGTTGTCATTTCAAAAATCTCTTTCTAGGTTCTCACCAGATGGGGTCAACCATCTCATGCTCATTTCAGTAGTTTACTTTGACTTTTGGGACCCTAAATAATCCATTACTTTTTAAAAGAAATAAATAGTGATGTCCAAAAAAAGGAGTTGATTATTCACAGAAAGAGGTTTTACACAGCAGATAGGGCTCAATAGATAAGGCTGAATTATTTTGTTTTGTTTTTTTAATCTGTAAACCTACAATAAATAAAGAACTCATGTTGATCATTTACTTTATAAACCCATTTACTCTATAAACCCATTTACTCTATAAACCTATTATAAACAGTGATATTTTTGTTATTTAACATTAAATTTGAATAACATTAATGAATGCTTTTAGTTAGTAGTTCTTAGTGACCCCAGTCGCGTTCCGCATTTTAGCAAACAAACAATACTTGATGCAGTTTAGAGTTAAGTCTTCTGAGCATAGTCTTTGACTAACGCTAAGGCAGATGGTGCTCAACAGGAGACAGCAGAGGTTACTTGATGAAAGGAGTTAAGTGAAGTAAATTTGTATCAGTGTATTAGACTAGAAGTACCTGATGTTTTACCAGTTCACTTTAGGCGAAATAGTGAGCCACTCAGGCACGGCTGGTCCAGTGAGGGTGCCTTGGGCTCTTCCTCCGCGGTCTCTGCACCGTCCAGGTCATGGCTCTCAGTGTTCTTTCTGCTCCGTGTACCAAGAGAAGAACGCCCATGGCTTTCAGAAGTAGTAGCTCAGTAGAGGTTCTCCTGGAGGACAGGTCAGAATCTGGGGGCTCTGACGGGAAGACAGTTTGATCAGGATTCGAGAGATGACACTGGATCATGGGGCTAAAGATGGGGAACAGAGCCTTTTTTCTTTTCCTTTCAGTTTAAATAAACTTTAAAAATTGGAATACACCATTCATTCAGAGAAATGCAGAGATCACAAACAGGCAGCTCATTGAATTTTCACAAGATGACCAAACCTGTGTAACCAGCATTTCTGGGGGACACAGCCCAGAAACCATCTCAGGCCCTTCTGCTCCTCATCTCTGTCCTCCTGAGAGAGGCCTCTTCCTCCCTCTCCTTCCACGGAGAATTCCTGTGCAGGAACTGTATATAATCACCCATAGTGTATAGAGTCTTACGTGTCTGGCTTTTTTCAGAACATCAACTTTTAAAAGTCTGTTTCAACGTCCAGATCCGTGTTAGACTGAGAACAGGAAAACAGACAAGGGAGCCTGCTTGTCTCTTCAGTCCCATTCCAGATGACAGACAGCCCTTGAGTTGGGACTCTGGTCAGATGTTCAACTCTCAAAGAGCCACCCAGTTGGAAGCTGGGTTAGGCCAGATAGTGTATGAACCGTCGCACCGCTGGGGACTAAAGGGTGGTGACAGCAGGGAACTTCTTCCAGATAATAGATCACAGAGAAATAGACGTGCGCTCAAAGCCTGTATTCTGCTGCAAGCGCTCAGCCTAGGAACGCCGAATGAGGGGAGGAGAACACACCTGCCTGCCTAAGGTGGGCCAGCACCCAGCCTCTAGCATGAGCTGTATCGGTGGGGCTACTGATTGTATACTCTGACTCATTTAAATGACAGATTCCAGATGGGCTCAGAGTTTGAAACACAAACCTGCATCTGAAATCACCCCACAGTAACAGCCCTCTGTGGCCCAGACGTACCTGATGGAGGGGCTCTCTTGAGTGCAGTCTGGGACTGCATTATTCCTCCACTGGGAAGCCCAGCTTATAGCACGTTATGTATAAAGTCTAAATGGAAGTGTTTGTATCTCCCTTGGCAAGCAAGTTGGACTGTGTATATTCTTTGTTTGCGATCAAATCCAGCAAGGCCAATTATGGGAGTAGAGCTTTAGGGCATAGCGTGACTAATCTGCTTAATTAGGTTTGCTCTTTCAAATGCCAGGCTTCCAAGGGTAGCTAGTGTGGGCTCCTGCAAGAGGAAGTCTTCAGTAGGTTTCCAGCGTACCCACAGATACACTTTGTTTGTTTTTTGTTTTTCTTCTTATACTCATTTTAAAACACTAAATATGCAAACGCTTTGGACAGCTGGATAAGACTCCAAAATGCTGTGGTATAACTGCTTCCCAGTGAATTCCCCCCTTATGTTTTGAAAGTCTATATTTTTTCCTTGCCCTTATCTGTTTTCACGATGCCTATTTGAGTTGCTGTTACTATCCGGTTGCATTGTTGTTGAAGTTTCCATAAATAATCATCTCAACCTGTGTGGATTGTAAAAACAAGTTACAGTGCAGAACTCACTATAATTGATTAATGGAGCTTGTCACATATGTTCACTGGCATCAGTAAAGTTTAAGTAATATTTGGCACATTAACTCTGTCATAAACAAATGGTGCAAATTGTGTCGCTACACACAGCCTGTAGTGTTTGTGGTAGGAACCCATGACACTTGACCCCCAGATAAAAATAAAATACATTCAGGCCCACGACTTGCTGTTTGTGCATGGGCAAGCTCCTTCACATCTCTGAGTCTCAGACTCTTCAACCGGAAAAGGCCAGTGACAACACTGCCGTCCTCATAGGATTATTGTAAGAGTAAATGAAATAACGTGTGTGAGAGCATTTAGCACACCACCTGCCACCCAGTAGCAGTAACGTTCAGCAAATACTAGTGGTTGTTAATATTTTCCACCTTCACCCTTAATTCCTTTGTACAGGATGAAATTGATTCGGCAGTGAAGATGTTGTTATCCCTAAAAACGAGCTACAAAACTGCCACAGGGGAAGATTACAACATGGACTGTCCTCCAAGGGACCCGGCACCCGAGAGTGGTGAGGGCCTGGCTGCCACCGACGCAGACGAGGACTTTGTGGACCCCTGGACAGTGCAGACAAGCAGTGCCAAAGGCGTTGACTATGACAAGCTCATTGGTACGTTTATGGGAAAAAGCCTCAACTTTTAGAAGTGATGTTATTGATGTTTTCTAATTTGAATTAATCATAAATCCAGTCAAACTTCAATGCCAAGGGAAGAAAGATCCTTAAATCTTTTGGTGGTCCATTATATTCCTAGAGGTTTATTTTTAATTAACGTGACAATATACAATATGTTTTGAAATAATAATCTATAGTAGACAGCTTAGTGGGCTTCCTTGGTGGCTCAGACGGTAAAGAATCCACCTGCCAATGCAGGAGACCTGGGTTCGATCCCTGGATGGGAAAGAGCCTCTGGAGAAGGGAATGGCTACCCACTCCAGCATTCTTGCCTAGAGAACCCCATGGACAGAGAATCCTTGTGGGCTACAGTCCACGGGGTCACAAAGAGCCACACACGACCGAGCGACCAAGCACAGCACAAACCGCTTGGTGTTCACTTTTTCCTTTTCCTGAGCAATTCAGAACTTGGGGAAGGTCCGTCACACTGAGTATTTTCTCAGTGGTTAAATTGTCTTTCACTGAGTGGGTACAATTCAGGCATGGATTGCATAAGAAGGAAGCCTTCTCACAGGTGGCATGTCCTCACTGCCCAGCTCTGCCCTGGAGGGCTACCTGCGCTGGAGGATCCTTGCTCTGAGATCATTGGTGGCTGTCGAAGAAGAAACAGAACTAAAATGCTCTCATCTGAGTCTAAGCCGTTTTCTGTGATTTATGTTTAGACCATCAGGGAGAGAAGACTAGCTGGAAGACGGACATTAATTTGGTTATAGACTCTCTAAAATGATGGTTGTGAGCATATATAAATTATACTGCAATAAGTAATAAGCAGCTGTGTGTAGGAGGCAGGTGGGGGGAGGGGGGCGGGTTATCTGGAGCTCCTCACTAGGCTGCATTCTGGATCTGTTTCCCATCAGAATCCAGTCCCAGACCAGAGAGTCTTTAGCCCTGCATTTATTTTCTTTTCTGCTGGCCGTGACCTCTGCTCTGGACTGATGGAAGGGACTAGAGCCAGCAGCCCCAAGAAGCCTGGGTCTACTGAGAAGGCGCATGATCGTGATCCCTGTCATCTCTGCAGCGTCCCCAAGCCTCCCACCACCTAAGTTCAGCCTCTTCTTCTCTTCCAGTTCGATTCGGAAGCAGTAAAATTGACAAGGAGCTGGTAAACCGAATAGAGAGAGTCACGGGCCAGAGACCACACCGCTTCCTGCGCAGGGGAATCTTCTTCTCACACAGGTCAGGGGCTTCTCACTGCAGGAACTCCCCCCGTCCTATTCTCTTAGAGAAGGAAGCAGTCAGGATGCTGGGCCCTCAAACTGCCGGTCCCGCCTCCTGTCCTCCCAGTGACCAGCTGTGGGATCACACCTGTCCCTTCACCTCTGGCCCTTAGTTTATTCATTTGTAAACTGCCCATCTCACAAGGTGGAGGTCAAGTACTCACCAAGATGAGATTCTTGCCAGATTGTGTGCTATAAACCATAGCATGTCACAAAACAAAAGAGATTAATATGTCCAGGTTCAGCATTTCCCGTGAGATAAGCAGGAGGCTTCCTGAAGTTACATATGCCTTCCTCCTATTGTACTGGCCTGCTCATAAATCGTGTCCAGAGAGAAACTAGAAGAGGGAACAGGGCACAGAGTATCCCTACCTGAGACCATAAACTCCACGCAGATAACATCAGAGAATGGGCAGGTTCGGAGCCAGCTCCTGCCTCTCCCACCCCACACACCGCCTCTGGTTGGGTTCAAGAGATTTTGAAGCATATAGTCCAAGGCAGGGTTGTTCTGTTCTGCCTACCCCAGGGTTACAGAGAGCACACACAGGACAGAACTCGGCCCTCTGCCGAACATTTGATTTTATTTTTTTAATTGGAGGATAATTGCGTTACAATGTTTTATTGGTTTTGGTGGTGCTAGTGCTAAAGAACCTGCCTGCCAATGCCCAAGATATAAGAGACACGAGTTCGATTTCTGGGTCAGGAAGATCCCCTGGAGGAGGAAATGGCACCCCACACCAGTATTCTTATCTGGGGATAAGAATACATCCCCTCCCTCCTGAACGTCCCTCCCATCCCACCCCTCTAGGTCATCACAGAGCACCAGGTTGAGCTCCCCGTGTTACACAGCACGCCCAACACTTTAAATTCTACATGGAGAGAAGAGGCCCCCCACTCAGCCCTCTTTCTGGGCAGAATACAATCACAGCTTTTTCCTTAATTGAGATGTAATTCACATGACATAGGATTCACCTTTACAAAGGACATAGTGCAGTAGGGTTTTTTGGTCTATTCACAAGGTTGTGCAACCATCACCACGGTCTGGTTCCTTACATTTTCATCACCCCAAAAAGTAGCCCTCTACTCAGTAGCAGTCACCCCGCACCCCACCATCAGCCACACCACTGGCTACCAGTAATCATTTTTCCATGTCTCTGGATTTGCCTGGGATATAGCATGTGTCACACTTCATTCCTTTTTATGCCTGAGAACTATTGAATGGATGCACCCCCATTTGACAGCTGATGGGCATTTGGGGGGTTTTCCCTTTGGGGTTAGCACTAGTACTGCTCCAGGTGTTTGTGTACAGGGTCTCATTTCTACTGAGTGAATACCTGGGAGTGGGGTTGCTGGGTCCTAAGGTAGCCATTTAACATTTTTTTGGAATTGCCAAAGTGTTTTCCACAGTAACTGCATCATTTTGCGTTCCCACCAGCAAAGTGCAAACAAGGATTCCAATTTCTCCACATCCTTCCTAATATTTGTTGTTCTTTTCCAGTTTGTGTTTTTCTGTAACCATGCTAGTAAGCGTGAGGTGGTATTTCATTATGTTTTTGATTTGTATTTCCATAATGACTAATGATCTTGAGCATCTTTTCATGTGCTTACTGTCTGTTTTTATATATTCTTTAGAGAAATGTCTGTTCTGATCCTTTGCCAACTTTTTAATTGGGTTATTTATCTTTTTATTGGATTATAATAGTTCTTTATATACTCTGGATAATAGTTTCTTATCAATACTTGATTTGCAAATATCAGCTCTAAGAGGGGTATTATTTTAGCTCTTACACTTGGGTCTCTGATCCATGTTTAGTTAATTTTTGTATGTGTATGAGGGAGGATTCAGCTTCTGTCTTTCGCATGTGAATATCCAGTTGTCCCAGCCCCACTTTTTGGAAATTGTTGTTGAATTTTCTTGACACCCTAGTTGAAACTCAATTGACCATATATTTAAAGATTTCTTAAATATACTGCATAGTCTTGATGACTGTGGCTTTGTAGTGAGTTTTGACACTGGAAAATGTGAGTCCTCCAGCTTTGTTCTTCTCAAGATTATTTTGCCTGTTCTAGGTCCCTTGCATTCCAGGTGGATTTTAGAATCAGCTTGCTAATTTCTGTACAAAGATTGCACTGCATGTGTAGATCAGTTTGGAGAGAAATGCATCCTACGATGGCATCTAAGATGGAATACTAAGCTTCCAGTCTGTGCACAGAGAACGTCTTTCCCCTCATCACTTTGGTTTCTTCATACAGTGTTTTATAGTTCTCAGTGACAAGCCTTGCACTTCTTTTGTTAGGTTTATTCCTTGGGTTTTGTTCTTTCCGGTGCTCTTGAACATTTTCTGAATTTCCTTTCTGGACGTTTCACTGCTGTTTCTGAAGGGGAAGTGTACCCCTGCGTGTCTCCTCTAGCTCAGCCTCACTGCAGCTCTGCTTCACTGCTGACACCAGAGAGGTAGCATTTTCACACATCAGGGGATTGGTTTTCACCCATCAGGGGTTCTGCAGCATAAGCTGGGTCTCTTACAGTTTAAATCAGTTCTGACACCCTCGACCTGGAGATAGTGTCCAGTCCAGTCCCACGGGTTAAGGGCTCAGTCCCATACAACTGCCCCCCCAACCCCCTACTTCAGACACAAATCAGAGTCAGGGTTCTTACCTATGCCTTAAATCCCACAGCTGATCTGGAATTAATTTGCTCAAGCATCTCATATAAGTCAGGAAAACATTTTACTCACTAGATGGCCAGTTCATTATAAAGGGTGTAAGTCTGGAGCAGCCAGATTGGAGGAGGCATGTGGGGGTGCTCAGAGCTCCCTGCCCCCCTCCCCGGCACCATGCCCCCTGTGTCTCCATGTGCTCACCAACCCAGAAACTCTCTGACACTATCCTTTGGGTTTTTATAGAGCCTTCATTACACAGATTATTTATATCACTGGCCATTGGTGGTTAAACTCAATATCCAGCCCCTCTTCCCTCCCCAGAAAGAGGGGCAGGGGTTGGGAGCTGAAAGTTCCAACCCTGTAATCAGAGCTGGTTCCCCAGCAACCAGCCCCCTTAGGGTATCCAGGGACTTTCCCAAAGTCACTTAAATAACATAAACTTTGATGTAGTTGAAAGGGGAACTTTTTATGTGAATAACACTCTATCATTCTTATCGCTTAGGAAATTCCCACAATGGTTTAAGGAACTCTGTGCCTGATATAGGCTAGAACAAAGACCAAATATATGTTGTTTCTTTTTTTTTTTTTTTTGATGTTTCTTATTATCAACCACAATATTGCAGTACTGTATAGAAATACAACTGATTTTTGTTTGATCCTACATCCTGCAACTTTGCTGAATTCATTTATTCTTATTTTTAAAAATTTCAAAAAAAAATTCAAAAATATAAATTTGAAGATTTAACTATATAAGGAACATTGGTCTGTAGTTTTCTTTTGCTGTCTTAACTTTGGGTATCAAAATAATACTAGCTTCATAGAATGCATTGAGAGGTATTCCCTCTTTGATTTTTTTGGAAGTTTGTGAAAGACTGTTGTTAATTCTCTTGAAAATTTGATAGAATCCTCTAGTGAAGCCATCTGACTTTAGGCTTTTCTCTTTGAGACTTTTTTTATTACTATTTTAATTTCTTTGCTTGTTCTGGATCTGTTCAGATTTTCTGTTTCTTCTTGAGTCAGTTTTGGTAGTTTGTTTCTCTAGGAATTTTGTCTGGTTCATCAAAGTCATCTCACACACAGGCATGCAGTTCATATTATTCACTTACAATCCTTTTTATTCTTGTAAGTTGTTTGTTGTTCAGTCACTAAGTCCACTCTTTGTGACTCCATGGACTGCAGTACACCAGGCTCCCCTGTCCTTCACCATGTCCCTGAATTTGCTCAGACTCACGTCCATTAAGTCAGTGATTCCATCAACCATCTCATCCTCTTTCACCCCCTTCTCCTCCTGCCCTCAATCTTTCCCAGCATCAGGGTCGTTCCCAATGAGTCGGCACTTGGCATCAGGTGGCCAAAGTGTGGGAGCTTCAGCATCAGTCCTTCAGTGAATGGTCAGGGTTGATTTCTTTTAAGATTGACTGGTTTGATCTCCTAGCTGTCCAAAGGACTCTCAAGAGTCTTCTCCAGCACCACGGGTAGAAAGTATCAATTTTTCCACACTCGGCCTTCTTTATGGTCCATCTCTCACATCTGTACATGACTACTGGGAAAACCATAGCTTTGACTATAGCTGCAGACCTTTGTCAGCAAAGTGATGTCTCTGCTTTTTAATACACTATCTAGGTTTGTCATATTTTTTCTTCCAAGAAGCATCTTTTAATTTCATGGCTGCCGTCACTGTCCTCAGTTATTTTGGAGCCCAAGAAAACAAAATCTGTCACTGTTTCCATTTTTTTCTCCATCTATTTGCCATGAAGTGATGGGACCAGATGCCATGATCTTCGTTTTTTGAATGTTGAGTTTTAAGCCAGCTTTTTCACTCTCCTCCTTAGGGACTTGATGAGATCCGCTGTGCACTGTCGGGCAGCAGCACCAGCAGATGACTAGACTCCCTCGGAGCTGAGGGGTCCCTCGGAGCTGAGGGGTCCCTGCTGGGATCCGCCTTCACAAAACTGAGCTCCGCAAGGGCACCTAGTCAGTGCCCTGCCCTCGGGACAGCACCTCGAGTGCTGGGAGACTTTCTGCAAGACCATCCACAGCAGCTCGAGTGATAGCCACACTCTTTTTTTCTTCCGTAAGCCGATAAAAGTTTGATTTGTTATTTGTGAGAACCCAAAAATGACTCTTTTCTTCCAAACTCAACCATTTTTGTTCTTTCCTTATTTCAGAAGCACTGTGTCACCATTCCTTGGGGGAAAATCAAAGCTAAGTACAAAAAAAATCCAGAATAGCCCTAATCCTGTCAGCCCACAGATAAGCACTGCCAACCCCTGGTCAGGAGTAGAAGGAGAAGTCACTTTCAGAATACTCTTGTCTGGGTTCTTCTACTCAGGCCTCTGGGAAAGGGAGCCAGTCCTCTTTTATTTGGCACACTTTAACGATACAGACTCCCAAACACCACCCTGGACCCGCTGGATCAGAGGCTGGGAAGGTGGGGCGCGGGCAGGTGTGATGTAGAGACGGCCAATCAGGTGACTGTGATGCCCGCCAGGCGGGAGGCCCCTTCGTGTGCATTGTGTGTGGGCCCCAGTCCTCGGGGAGGGCGGGTGACTGCACGGTAACTCCCCAGATGGAGACCCTTAGTCCCAGTGTAGCAGAGGGAACCCAAAGCAGATCTCCAGCTGGGGACATCCCCCGCCTAGTCCAGACTGTGGGGAGCCCTGCGATTGCCCCCTCCTGAGCCAGCAGAGTTGGGGCTGCGTGGTTTTCAACAAGGACTGGGTGGTGTCGGCCTGGTGTCACTCCCAGGAAAGCATGTGAAGCAGACAGTACATCGAAATCGAAATTTGAAAAATTCCAAAAGAGGTCCAGTGGCTGCCCAGCCGTATCCAGCCTTTAAACACGTTGTTCCCAACCCGCACGGCTTATGCTTTTATCAGGCACAGGAGGAACCACTCAGAAGCAGTTTCCTGTCATCCTTACAGTGGGAGCAGCAAGGACAACAAGCTCTGGTGACTGGGTTGTCTTGTCTGGTTTTCATTCCCAGTTGCGCATTCTTCTCTCAGAACACCTCACCGTTTTCTTGTCCCCTGTGTCCTTTAGAGACATGCATCAGATCCTGGATGCCTACGAAAACAAGAAGCCATTCTATCTGTACACGGGCAGGGGCCCCTCCTCCGAAGCCATGCACGTGGGTCACCTCATCCCGTTCATCTTCACCAAGTAAGTGTTGCAGCGCGGGGCTGTGCTCACCGTGTCAGTGAGTTTTGAAACACGGAGAGAACAAACCAGCAATATATCTGCCAATTATAGGCAGTAAATGTATTATTAGTATTATTATTTTTTAAAAAAGGGAAAGAAATGTTAATCACAGACTGTGTAGAGCTGAGGAGGCAGTGCCAGCTCACGTCTGCCTGATCAGCCAAGGTCTCGGGTCACCGGTGCCCCCGTGGCTCCTCCCCGCCCCGCCCCTCGGGTCGCCGGTGCCCCCGTGGCTCCTCCCCGCCCTGTCCCTTGGGTCATTTTAGCAGGATTGGGTGGTGGGGAGAGCACTGTGTGAAGTCAGCGGACCTGTGTCCTCCCGTCTCCGTGCGGGTGACCATGGAAGAGTTACCGCTCTGGGCCTTAGTTTCCACTTCTGCCAGAGTGCCCCCCTCCTCCCGTCCCTGTAAGACTTCAGAGCAGAGTGTGCAGAGCGGCCAGCTCGGATCCGACATGCATCGCCCTCCAGGCTGATAAATGGTGGTAGCCTGCAATGTGGGAGACCTGGGTTCGATCCCTGGGTCGGGACGATCCCCTGGAGGAGGGCATGGCAGCCACGCCAGTGTTCTTGCCTGGAGAATCCCATGGACAGGGGAGCTCGGCGGGCTGCCGTCCGCAGGGCCACAGAGTCGGACGCGACTGAGGGACTGAGCACGCCTGGCACAACCCTTGCTCACAGAGAGGTGCACACAGTCAGGCTCCGTGGGCTCCTGTTGACGGGAGCTGAAGTCACAGTGTGGTCAGAGGGCGCGATTTCCTGGGCAGGGGAGCTTCGACATGCACTGTTAGCAGGAGCCGCGGTTTCAGAGGTGCAGCCGTGTTTCTCTGCAGAGCAGTAAGGTGTGGGCCCCTCTCCCCCGTGTCTCCCAGGTGGCTGCAGGATGTGTTCAACGTGCCCTTGGTCATCCAGATGACCGATGACGAGAAGTACCTGTGGAAGGACCTGACCCTGGAGCAGGCCCACGGCTACGCCGTGGAGAATGCCAAGGACATCATTGCCTGCGGCTTTGACATCAGCAAGACCTTCATCTTCTCTGACCTTGACTACATGGGGTAAGGGGAGACCGCCTGGCCGCCTTTCAAATGAGTCAACGCAGGCTGTAGACGGGCCATCGCGGCCAGAGCTGCTTCAGAGACATCTGAAGCATCTTGAGGTCTGAAAGGTGTTTTCTTCCTTTATCGAATGTTATGGTCTAGTTTCCTGGTTTATTGACAGCTAAGACTTCCATCCTCAGCTTGTGGAGGGGATAGCGATGGCCAGATGCAGGCCGGAGCAGCTCACAGAGACAAACCCTCCTTCCGGGGCCCATCAGTTCATACCCAGCTACTCTGGCCGGCCGCAAGTTGCAAATACCCTGAGTGATGAGAAGGTTAATCTGCTTTTAACTCACCACTGGCTCTCTCTAGCTATGGTTTCCCCACATCTACAGACTCAACCAGCCAAGCCAGTGCAGCACCGCAGTACTGAAAAGTGGCCCGCATGGGTGGACCCATGTTGTTCCAGGGTCAGCAGTAATCTCCCCCGACAAAGCACACAGTCCGTCCCAACAGATAAGCTGCCCTGGAGCCCCCAAACTTGAAGCCCCGCAGGTTCAGCCAGCGATCCTGGCAGAGCTGACACCCCTCGTGTGAGCCCCTGAGTCTGCATCGGCAGTGCTCCTGCCTCCCGTGCCTCTCAGCTTCGAGCTGACTTCCTTCCACGGGCAGGGGTGTGTCCGCCTCGCCTGCCGCAGGCGTCTCTGCCCACAGGGGGCGGCAGAGCACCTTCTTCCCCAGCCGACCCGGCCCGCATGTGGCTGGCGGGCCTGTGCTGTCTGCTGCTTTGCCCTCGGCCACCACCCTCCAGTTCTGGGTTTGACTCTGACCTTCTTCACAGGATGAGCCCAGGCTTCTACAAGAACGTGGTGAAGATCCAGAAGCACGTCACCTTCAACCAAGTGAAAGGCATTTTCGGCTTCACCGACAGTGACTGTATTGGTAAGCCGCCATGGCCCACAGCTCCCGCTGGCCCCTCAGAGAGAAGCCGCGCACAGGAGGAGGGGGTGGACGTGCCAGGTGCCTGTGCGCGGCTGCGCTGTCTCTGGGGTGGTAGCGTTTGCAGTTTGTCTCTTTAAAAAGATGGGTTTTCCCAGAATGTAAGGAGCTGCTGTGATGCATTTGGCCCTTTTTTCTGGGCCCCGTGGAGTGTCCCCTCAGGTCACACTCTGTCCCTTTCCTGCCTTGTCCATTTTAAGGCTTAGAAGGAAAAGGAGGCTATGGATGACTTTGATCCTCCACCTGTTCCTGGGAACCCTGTTGGCATGGAGGCCTTGGTGGGGCCTAGGTTGCAGGAGGGCTGCTCTGTGGCTGGAACTGGCCGTCTCTGTCTCCCGGGACCTCATTCCCCACCTCCGGGAGCAGCCACCCGGCGCACCTGCCTGCCTTGTTCTCCTTCCAGGCCCAGTGCCCAGCAGGCGGGTCTCTGTGCACACGTTGACCTCCCTTTCCCGTGTTTCTGCACCCCTTTCAGATGCAGTGACCATCTCTTCTTTAGACCCTCAGCCCCGTGAGCTAAGACTCAATCCTGAGACTACTGGCTGGGTCTCCTGACCCCTCCGTTTATTTTAGGCGCCCAGCCCCTGGCCCAGTGGCTGCCAGCGTGGAGCTCCCAGGATGTACCTGTGGGCATCTGTACCAGGCGTGCCCCACTAGGAGGGGGCACGTCCGGGGCCCGGCTGGGGGGCCTGTTGGAAGAGAAACGCCACAGAGGCCCTGCTGGGAGGCTTTTCCCATGAGCAGGACCCTTTGATGCCTCCGTCAGATTCATTCCTGACACTTTGGGGCATAAACCCTGTGCTTTAAATGGTTTTGGAGGGGCAGGGGTTGTTTGTACTTTTTTCTGCTTTGAAACGGTGTTTTAATCCTGGGAATCCAGGCAGCAAATAGGGAGACGTCTCTGAAGCTGCCCCGAGCCAGTGCGGATACGGGGCTGCGGCAAGTAGCCACACAGTCTGTGCTGCCGAGACCCGGGTGTGAGTCCGGGCTCAGCCTCTCAGAGCTGCGCCCTAGCTCTAGGGACCCAGCAGTGATCCGGGCTGGTGTCCACGTGCATAAAATGGGGACACGGCGACACTTCCTCTATAGAGTCATGGGGCATGGACGGGATTCTCAGTGCTGTAAAGGAGACACTGGTCCCAGCGGAGCCGCCTTGTGGACCCCCAGAGACAGGCAGGAGCCCGGGAGCGAGTGGTGTCTTTCTGCAGAGGGGAGAAAACAGCTGCCGGGGGCGAGCGTCACCGAGAGAGGACTCCAGGCCATCCCGGAAACGTCCCAGCCTGGCCTGCCTCCACTTGTCAAGGGTCACACCAAGGTCCATGCCCTTTGACCCCAGAATTCTGCTTCTGCAGGTCTGAGCAAATATAATAGCAGTGTTAACAGCAGCAGCATCCAAAATATTGAGAACAGTTTTATGTCCCAAAATGTCATAATTTATAATAACTAAAACTGAGGAAAAACCTGGACACCCAGTGGGTAGAGAATGGCTGAGGTACAAGATAGATCATGGGTAAGCATTACAAAGTGGAACCTGTAAAGAACAGACCAGAGGAGAATCTCACTGAAATGGAGGGAAAATGGATGAAAAAGACACAAACTAGGACTGCAGATTTTTCTTCCTTCCAGCAATCCATCTCTGTAGGTTTCAGGTTTTCTTTAACGAGTATTACTTTTCCAGTGGGGAGAAAAGCCCATTTTTGTTCATCCCTTCTACAGTTCCAGACAGGAACCAGTCTCGGGTATTAAAATGTTTTGTCCTCCCTCCCAGGGAAGATCAGTTTTCCTGCCATCCAGGCCGCTCCCTCCTTCAGCAACTCATTCCCTCAGATCTTCCGAGACCGGACAGATGTCCAGTGCCTCATCCCGTGTGCCATCGACCAGGTCAGGAGGCAGAGCCAGGGTTCCGTCAGCCTAGGGGTCAGCAGGGGCCTTCACCCACTTCAGGGGTGGAAAAGAGAGTCTGAGAGTGGTGCGGGGCAGTTACTCGGGAGAGCCGGGTGTTAACAGGGGTCTTCATCCTCTTCAGGGGTTGGGAAGGAGGGTCTGATGGTGGTGTGGGGCAGAGTTACTCAGGAGAGCCGGGGTGTTAACAGGGGTCTTCACCTACTTCAGGGGTGGGAAAGAAGGTCTGACGGTGGTGTGGGGCAGAGTTAACTCGGGAGAGCCGGGGTGTTAACAGGGGTCTTCACCCGCTTCAGGGGTGGGAAGGAGGGTCTGACAGTGGTGCGGGGCAGAGTTACTCAGGAGGTGCCCACCAGCTGATGGCATCCCTCATCTCCCCTGCCCTTCCCTCCACACAGGACCCATATTTCAGGATGACCAGGGACGTGGCCCCCAGGATCGGCTACCCCAAGCCAGCCCTCTTGCACTCGACCTTCTTCCCTGCCCTGCAGGGGGCCCAGACCAAGATGAGCGCCAGCGACCCCAACTCCTCCATCTTCCTCACAGACACGGCCAAGCAGATCAAGACCAAGGTGAGCACAGCCCAGGCCTCGGGGAGACTCATGCACTACCGCTCCATCCTTTGGCCACCACGGGCACCCTGAATTCCAGGGTCCGGGCAGCCTACCCCGTTCCCAGATACGAAGTGAATGTGTTTGTGTCTTTACATGTAGGCAAAACTTTGGAATTTTTTTTTTCTTTTTTTTCATCTCTGATTTCCTCACCAACATTGTTCAGAAAACAAAATCATGGCAATTTTCTTTAGTTACAGCTAAACAATAGAGAAAATTCAGTGTACTTCTGAGCACCAGTTGTATTCCAGGAGCTGGACCATACGCTCTCTCTGTGTTTCAGTTTTTATTCTCACTGGTGTGTCCCTATAAGATGAGAGCGATGAGGCCCAGCGAGGATGACCAGCTTGATCCAGTTTCCCCCAGAAACCGAAGGTGCCCTCCCAGCTCACGCACCGTGTTACACACCAGGGTGTAGGGGCTGCTTCTGTCCAGAACATTCCCGCTGAGACTCAGTATTGACAGGCCAGTCGGGTCCTGGCCAGGAGTGCTGCTCCCACCCACTTGCAGCCGGAGCTCAGTAAATCTTCAAGTCATCAGAGAAACGAGAAATGGGAATTCGTTTGAGCTTCCTTACTTTTCAGGCCCGCACTTCTGGTGCTCGGCTCTGAGCTGCCAGTGTGTGTACAGGCCCCTCACTGTTGCACAAAGCTGTGGACATTTTAGTTGGAACTGTGTGTATGTTCGCGGTCTGGAAGATTACAACAGGAGTGACCGAAACTATATTTGGGGTGTGTAATGCAACCATGAGTCAGTCCAGGCCCCTGCCCCTCCTGGAAAGTCCCACTTTCTGGTTGACAATGAGGAACCCTTAGTATCAGAACAGGCCTCCAGGAAGTGGCAGCTGCCAGCTTTCCCAGCCTCAGTTGGAGGCTGGTGTAAACAGGGCTTTTTATTTTTCTTTCACTTCTGGCTAAAAATTCCAGAGCCTGGAATGCAGAAGAAGGGGAAGGACACTCCTGTTCCCTCTTGCAGAGAAGTCATTTCGTTTCATTTTCTGAGAAGTTCTTATAAAAGAAGTCCTTTATGGCTCTGGGACACTTTTCACTCACGGACCAGCAGAGACCCAAGGGTCAGGAACCACCCTGGCTGCCAGGGTCACAAGCACCCTGGGGGACAGGACAGGGTCAGGCCAGGCCCTTGTTCCCAACCCCTAAGCCCCGCTTCAACTCCAGAAGCAGAATCTTCAGCCCAGAGAGGGGGCATCTGCTCCAGCCCCCTCCCAGGAAGTAAGAGTAGAGTGCTAGGAACACTGCAGCCCGACTGCGTGGTCACCTGCCACACGCTCACCTGTGTGAGCTCAACGGAGTCCTCACACCCTCCTGGACGCCGCATCCGTTGCCTGGGCGACGAGATAGGCCCACAGCGTCTGGCAGCTCCTCTGCATTCACACAGCCGGGTTGCAGAGGGCCAGCTGTAACCCAGGTGGGCCTGAGGCCTGGAGTCAGGGCCCCGCTGCCCACCTGCTCTTGGTAAGGGACCGTGGTCGTCAGTATCACTGTCCAGCGGGAGCCGCTCTGCAGAACTGCAGCCTGGCGGCAAGGCTTACGTGAGATCACACACACAGGTGGTCACTGCCTGCAGAGAGCAGCCCAGGTTTGAGATTCCAGTTCCGACCTGGACCACTGAATAGCCGCCTAGTGGCAGGGGCCTCATCAGAGCTTCCAGTGCTTCTCAGAGCCACTTAGCACCCCCACCAGAAAGGCCTTGCCCACCAGCCTCTGCCCCCACAGTCTCCTAGGCGACCCGGTCAGGAGCCTGCCTGGAGTCCTTCCGGGGGGCTCACCAGACGCCTCCTTGAGACCACTGGGTCTACGCACTCTTCTCCCTGCGAGAAAATACGTCTGTGCGTGGAGGGTTTCTCAGACACGCACTAAAAGGGCGTTGAAGGGGCTTTGTCTCTACTTTGGGCTTTTCTTCTCTCCGCTCTTGACCCTGACTTCTCTAAGGCTATCTTCAATCCTACAAGCCACTTTGTTAGTTTCTGAACCTGTCTGTCTTCAGCCTCTGGACGTGCCTGTTTGAGGTGGGCGCTGCCCGCAGGCCTGCTTGGGCTCTGCCTCCCCGGGGCCTGTCGCTTTGCCTCCCGTCCTGTCCCCAGGGAGGGGTGGGGGCAGCAGCCTCGCCGGGTCGGGCGCTCTGCCCCCTGCGCTGTGCCGTCAGGGGCCCTGCCCTTTTCACTCAGGATGGCTGTGTCTGTCCTCTGGGTGAGCCTGCGGACAGGTGAGGACATTTGCCCAAGCTTCTGCACAGGCAGTGGCGTGGTTTTCTTGATTCTGTTCTGTCTCTGGGAGTCGGGGGAGGGGTCAGCTCACCCGCCGTCTTGAGCCCCCTTCTCTGCAGTGAGCTCCGCGGGAAGGGGCGGTGTGCAGGCTCCCCTCACCACACAGGCGGCCGCCTGGCAAGCATCCGTGTGCCCCTTCTGGTGCAGGTCAACAAGCACGCCTTCTCCGGAGGCAGGGACACCATTGAGGAGCACCGGCAGTTTGGGGGCAACTGTGATGTGGACGTGTCCTTCATGTACCTGACCTTCTTCCTGGAGGATGACGACAAGCTGGAGCAGATCAGGAAGGTAAGGCCCATGCCGGCCCTGGAAGGCTTGGTGGCCAACGTTCCCCGGGCCTGGGTCCATGGGGCCGGCGCTCAGCTGAGATGAGATCACAGCTGAGTAGGTTGGTCGTGTTCATGACCATGTGCCTAGAAACCTTGTGAACGGATGGTTCCCAAAAGAGAAAATACGAACTAGTAGTAGCGACACTGTAAGGTTTAATCCTACTAATCATCAGAGAAGTAGAAGTTAAAATGAGACCCCATCGGTGCTGACACAGCTCACATACCCAATCCGCGGGTTTGTGTTGCATTTACGGTGATTATAATTCCAGGGCTCAGTGAGCCCGAGAGCCCAAGGAGCATTCATAGCCTCTGCTTCAGGATTTCCAGTCCTTGGCATCTTTTCCAAGAAACTAACCCTGAATAAGAAAGAGCTCTATATGCAAATGTGTTGAGATGGTGATAGCAAGAAGTTCAGAACAGACTCTACAGCAGAGGAAGCCTTGACTGAGACTCGTCAAGAGGGACTCTTAGGCAGGGGTGAGGCTTTGACCCCCAGGAGGGTGGGCCAGTGCTAGTGGCAGGTGGGCCCAGGCCGGCCGTGCAGCGAGACCCGTGAAGCCTAAGTGCACTGCAGAGAAGAAATCTGACAGAAAACACGCCAGGATGTTAGCGGTGGGCTCAACCTCTGGGCCCTGAATTTGCAGGGGACTTTTTCCTTTCTTTTGCCGCTTTTTGTCAGCTTTGGGTACTTCGTTAAGTTTGTTTAACAAGTGCATGTTACTGTCACAATCAGAACATGAAAACAGATTCAGCAAAGATTTTAGAGACGCCAGTAAGGTTGAAGGGCGCAGTCATGGGTTCGGGTCTTGGAGTCCCCTGACCTGGCGGGCAGGTGGGGTGGCCAGCCCTGTTGTCCCCATCATGTGGCAGCTGAGTCACAGCTGCCCGCAGAGCCCAGAGGCATTTTCAGGAAAGGGTGGCTCAAGGCCCTGTGTTTCTGTGTGGCCAGCGTGCCAGGCTCCGCGTGGGTGGTGTTGAGGGAGGGAGGCGCCCGGGCATGCACACCATCTCACGTGGCCTGTTCTCCCCCCACCCAGGACTACACGAGTGGGGCCATGCTCACCGGCGAGCTCAAGCAGGAGCTCATCGAAGTCCTGCAGCCCTTGATCGCCGAGCACCAGGCCCGGCGCAAGGAGGTCACTGACGAGATTGTGAAAGAGTTCATGACCCCCCGGAAGCTGTTCTACGACTTTCAGTAACGTTCCCTTTCTCTGTGCTCACTCAGAGATGTAATTTACCCGTAATCCCAGCTCAGTCGAATCAGCACTCCCCCTAGGCTTTATCAAACGGTAATTACGGGCCCGGGTCTGTAAATTCTGTGTTTGTCTCAATCCTGTTTCTTCCCCTGAACGTCATTCCATCCCCTGTGGGTAATTGGGTGCTGGGTAATATCGTGTGGTCACACAGACAAGTCCAGCTGGAGTTCCTCCCACAAAGCAGCACCTAAGTGCTTTGAAACGTTAACATACAGAAGCTTAATGGGCACAAGAGGCATTTCAGCTCATGCCCCGCTCCCACCTTAGTATTGAAAAGGAAGTGCTGGCCAAAGGCTTTGCTAAACTTAATTCTGAGATCTCACAGCTCAAAAGCTACCTTTAACGTTTCTGAGTATTGGCCAGAGTGGGCCAGTTTTTACTAAATTGAGTCTTTGTGGGAGAAACTTCCCAGTTAACTTACTAAACTCCAGGCCATGCATGTACTGTGATCAAGAAGTGACACTCCTTTCCTTGAGCAAACTAACACTCTGTCCACCAAGTAATCCTAGACACTCCATCCTGAGAACCAATGACTGCTCCATTCTGACCGAGCCGGACGCTGAGGCCAGTCTGTTGCTTTGCAGATCCTTTTGTTTTGACACCTGACTGGCGTGGAGGTCTGTCTGCACAGAGCACGCCCTGCCTGTGTCCTCACACAGGCAGACGTAGCTAGATAGCGTCCAGCAGCCCTCAAGGCCTCGGCCATGTGTCTGTGGGAGGCCTACTTGATCAAGCACCCTGTGTAGTTTTGGAAAAGTGAAGACCTATCTTAGGGAAAGCTCTTGGTCCAAGTATCTGTCCTTTCTGGAGGCACAGGGTCCATTCCTGGGCGCCCTACTCTGGTCTCTCTCATGACAATAAACTTCCTCTGGTCCCACCCATGTCGCTGTGCTGTCTGGGGTTTGAAGAGTGAGCAGAGGCCTCCCTCCCGCCTAAGGCTGTGCCGTGCCTCCCCCTCTGTGGATGCCCTTGACCCGCAGGGCCCCCCTGGCACACGTGCGGGATGGGATCACAGCCCTGGCGTGCGCCTTCCTAGCCCTCAGCCCTGCGTGGCGCTGGCTCCCACACTCACTGGATGTTCCTGACAGCCAGTGGAGGGCGCAAACAGGTGTCCACATTTTTTGTGGTCGAGGGAGGCGGCCATGGGGGAGGTCAGAAAGGTGCTGTGTAGACAGTGGCCCCAGGCCATTCACGGGGGTCCCAGAGCAAGGGCCCAGCCAGATGGGGACGAGCCCCAGGCTTGCGCTGCCCGCCCACCTCGTACTGCAGGCGGGAAGACTGAGGCCCAGGAGCGAGCACGGCAGCTTGTGCGAGGCCGCCCCGTGAGGTCGTGTCAGACAGACCTGCCCTGTCTCATGCTGTGCCCACTCACAGGCCGTCCTGCGGGAGGGACCTGAGGTTCCCACCCGGGCGGCACGTTCCATCTCCTCGCCCAGCCTCCGCTCCCTCCGGAGTGGAGGTGAGCCCCCAGCAGAGGGTGGGGTGGTGCGGCTGGGCAGCTGAGGTGACCTCTCTGCTCCCCTGAGCCCGCGTCTCAGGAGGGACCGCAGCCAAGTCCCTGGGCTGGCGGGGCCCCGGGGAGGGGTGGGCGTTGTCCTGGGGTCTCAGAGGGCAGGGCTGCGGCCCCACAGCAGCCAGCGACTGTGGGTGGGGCAGGGACCTCACCCCACCTCCTGGTGGAACAGAAGCAATGACAGACACCTCATGTTTGGGTCAGCTGGGTCAGAGGTCAGTGCCCAAAGTCACTGCTGGTAAGGGCCACACACGCTCCCAACCCCCACATTTTGCTAAAGAACACTGGATTCTTATAGATCCCGAGAGAAGCCCTGCATCGGGATGGGCAGGTGTGCAGCCCAGCACTGTCTGAGGGCTGAGGTGGGATTCCGTCCCCAGCCGCCATGACTTGTTAGTGTCCACCCCTCAGACCTCACAGCACCTCAGGGGTGCCCGGTCTGGTGGGTCCAGTGGAGCTGGGCCTGGGGGACAGCGAGGAACCCACTCAGGTGGAGAGCTGGGCCAGGCGCAACCCGGCTCAACCCCGCGTCTCCTGCGTCAGCAAGTGGGATCTTTACCACTTCGCCACCTGGGAAGCGCCCTGTCGACTCTGGGCTGGCCCTTCTCCTCCCCACCCTTCATTTCCGTGCTCCAAAGGGCCTTGCCTCTCCACAGCTGTGGCCCGAGCCCAAGCGAGCGACGCAGGGCCAGAGCTCAGAGACCAACGGTCCCCACCCTCCGTTGGAGGGAGGGGTAACTCCATTTCCAAGGCCAAAGCACCTGGGCAGGCTAGCAGCGCTCTTGTCAGAAAGAGGACGCGGGTGCGCGTTCTACAGCTGTTGAAACCTTTTGTTATCCGATCCCCTCCTGCCAGCACCTGGCCAGGACACCCCAGCGTCTTTACCAGCTTGCTGGTGAACTCCCAGGAATGCTCTGCGGGGCTTCCTTCACTCATGCGTTCGTGCATTCCACACACACACCCACACACACACACACACACACACACACACCCCACTCCCCACACACACACCCACACACACCCCCCCACACACACACACATACATACACCACACACACACACACACCCCACACACACACACACACACCCCACACACACACACCCCACACACACACACACCCCACTCCCCACACACACACACCCACACACACACACCACACACACACACACCCACACACACACACCCCACACACACACACACACACACACACTCCCCACACACACACACACACCCACACACACACACCACACACACACACACCCCACCCCACACACACACCCACACACACACACCCCACACCCCACCCCACACACACACCCCACACATACATACACCCCCCACACACACACACACCACACACATACATACACACACCACACACACACCACACATACATACACACCACATACACACACACCACACACACACACACCACACACACACACACCACACATACATACACACCACACACACACACACCACACACATACATACACACACCACACACACACACACCCCACTCCCCCCCCACACACACACCACACACACACACCACACACACACACACCCCACCCCACACACACACCCACACACACACACCCCACACACACACACACCCCACACACACACACCACACACACACACACATACATACACACACCACACACACACACACCACACACATACATACACACACCACACACACACACACCCCACACACACACACCCCCCACACACACACCCCACCCCACACACACACCCACACACACACACCCCACACACACACACACCCCACACACACACACCACACACACACACACATACATACACCACACACACACACACACACCACACACATACATACACACACCACACACACACACACCCCACACACATACATACACACACCACACACACACACACCCCACACACACACACACCACACACACACACCCCACCCCACACACACCACACACACACACACCCCACCCCACACACACACACACACACATATACATACACCCCACACACACACCACACACACATACACACACCACACACATACATACACACACACACACACACACATCCTGAGCACCAGCTCTGTGCCAGGCTCTGACCAAACTGAACGTGTGCTGCCCATGGGCAGCTTGTAGCCTGGGATGGGGTGGGGTGGGGGTGGGGGCAAGAGATGGATGAGTGACCGGACGGTGAGTGGGGGACCCAGGGGACCACAGCAGGAGAGACCTTCCCACAGCAAGGGCAGGTAGGGAGAGCTTCCTTCAGGAAGTGGCATCTGGGCCCCGCGGTCAGCCAGGCAGAGGTAAGGAGGGGACGCTTCCATAGAGAGCACAGCGGGTAAGCAAATGCCTGGGTCGTGGGACAGGAGAGGCCAGAGTAGGGTCCACCCACGTTTTCTGGAAACAGCAGAGAGTTTTCCGTTCAGCCAGAACCCTGGATGTCCTTCAGTTCAAAGTCACGGTCGAGGCTGGTGTCTGAGTGAGCGAGTGTCCAGGCAGGGGTCGCCTGACTTTACCAGAGGGCTGCTACAGTGGGCACCCAACCGTTCATGCTGGACCATCCCTGGGAGCCACGTGGTGCCCGAGGAAGGGCTGGGGTCTCAGAAGTGCGGGTGTGAGGTCCCCCATCCTCCCTGCCGTGTGGCCTTGGGCAGGCCTGACTCCCCCTCTGAGCCGGCGTGAGGACCTGCGTGAGGACCCCGCGGTGCTGAGGATACACCGGCCCCCTCCTGCAGGCCCTAGTCTTGATTCAGAAAGCCGGTGGCTTTGGGACAGGGAGGGGGATAAGGAGAACTGGCTTTGTGCTGCGGCGGGCTTCTCGCACGAGCTGGGGGAGTCGGGGGGAGCTGGGCTGGGCCTCCGTGCACCGTCTGCCTGGTGGGCGCCCCGGCCACTCAGGCGGCAAGGGCCTTGGCCTCTGAGGACCAGCTGACGAGGCGGAAAACCAGTCACCAGCCCCACAGAACACAGAGCAACACGCCTGAGCAGCCTGAGAAAAACGTGTTATTAACAACAGCTCCCCACTGAGTCCTGGCTCTGCAGGCGGAACAAGGGGGACCAGGCCTCACACGAAGCTCCCAGGGCTGCCAGGTGCGGGGACCGAGCCGGCGGGCGCCCGACAGCTGTGCCAGGGTCCCAGGCCTGAAGGGCGGCCCACACAGCAGGGAGAGCTGACGGGGGGGGGGTGTGCAGGAGGGGGTGTCAGCTGGACGCAGGGGTGCCCTGTGGACACGGGGCGGCGGGGAAGGCTGAAAGGGAAGCCAGGGATGGACCCACCAACCAAATGCACAGACGGCCCTTGGCCAACACATCCTCATCCCCAGGGGCCCACCACTCCTCCCTGACTCTGACCCTCAGGTCAACCGAGCCAGCGGCAGGCAGGGCCCCCACCTCCCCTCGTGGTCTGTCGCCGGGCGGGCAGGCCCTGGCTAGGCCGGGGGATAGTAGCCCCCTGGGTCCAGACCCTCGCACCCTCCTCCGCCTCCTCTAGCTCCTTGCAGCCCCCCTGGGAGCTCTTGGCAGGTTGGCGCCCCCCGCCCGGGGTGGGTGGGGGGCACCAGCTATGTGAGCAGGCCCTGCGTGAGCCTCAGCACAGCCTCGTAGGCCACAAACACCACCATGTTGACGGGGAAGGCACGGCAGCAGTTGAGCAGCAGCCCCTTGAAGAGCACGCGCGGCCCCTCCTCCCGCACACTTGTCAGCATGCAGTGCAGGAGGCCCCGGTAGCGACGGCGGCCCCGGCCGTCTGCCTGCAGGCGCGCCTTGATCACGTCCATGGGGGTGGCCACGGCCCAGGCCAGCACCCCTGCACAGCCACCGGCCACCAGCACGCCCGAGACATCTGCGGGGAGAGCACATGGGCGCCTGGGTCAGAAGCTGCACGGGGGAGACTGGGCGGGGTGGGGGTGTCAGGCACCCAGGGCAGGGCCTCCTGGCCGTGAGGGTGCCCTGGGCTCTCGCCACCCACGTGACCTGTCCACCACCACCCAGAGCAGGCCTGTCCTGACTCGTGCTGGGGGCCACAAGCATCCCCACCTGGGGGCCCTGGGGGCCAGCGCGGCCTCTCCCTGTCTCCTCTCCAGGCCCCAATGCCAGCTGGGCTGACCAACCTCCTGCATACCCTAACCCACACCATCCCAGGCCCCAGGCCCCCCGCTCACCTGGCCGGCTGTGGCCGGCGGGAGTCAGCCACTCACAGAGGATGGCATACGAGAGGAAGTAGGTGGCGAAGGAGTGCCCATCCCGGAAGAGCAGGGCCGAGCTGCCCTTGTAGAGGCCACGCAGCCCCTCCTCCCGGGCCACTGTGGCCAGGCAGTGCAGCGGCCCGCGGTACTTGGGCCCAGGATGCAGACCCGCGGGGGTCACGGGGCATGTGGGGGGCGTGGCCAGGGGCCCCAAGGCTGAAGGACGCCGCCGCTGCTGCACCTGCGTCTGCGTCTGCAGGCGGACCTTGGCCACCTCAGTGGGCGAGGTCAGGAACACCTGGGGGAGGGGGCCACGGTGAGGAGGCAGTGCCGCCCGCAAGCCCCAGGGCTCCCTTAGCTTCCGCATGTGAGCCTCGGGAAGCTCCAGGCTGGCCCACGGTGCCCTCCAAGGGGAACGTGAGCCCTGGGAAGCTCCGGGCTGGCCCACGGGCCATGGTGAGGCGGGTTCAAAGCCAGCTCTGCCCACTCAGCTGGAGCCAGCCCTTCCTTCAGCTGCGCATCCCCTGCTGGCAGAGTGCCCCCCACACAGTAGGCGTCGGGTCACTGTGACTCCAGCTCATGAAAGTACTCGGTCACATCATTCATCTGGTCATGACCGCTGCTGCTAAAGCGCTCAGTCGTGTCCTGCTCTTGTGACCCCATGGACTGTAGCCAGCCCGGCTCCTCTGTCCATGGGATTTTCCAGGCAAGAATACTGGAGTGGGTTGCCATTTCCTCCTCCAGGGGATCTTCCTGACCCAGGGATCGACATATTAATGTGTTATTTAACTAATGTTGAGAATAATGCAACACTTAATGTGAGCACTGACAATACTAACATATATTAATAACATAGGATTGTTTTACTCATACTATTGGCTGCCATCTCATGGGTGCTCCTACCAGTTAGCCCGCCGGGCTGGGGGCTTGACATGTGTAACCTCAGCACACCCCTTACAGATGAAGAGAGAAGCTCAGAGAGGCCCCCTAGCCTGCCCCCTGGTTACCGAGTCAGCTGTGTCCTCAGCCACAGTCCCCCAGCCTCCATCCACCTCTCCCCCCGTTGGGGTCCCCGGACCCCCTCACCCCGCCCCTACTCACGCGGATGAAGCCGGAGGCAAACCCCGAGAGCGTGATGTCGGTCTTGGCAGGCTTGGCGTCGGCACTGCCGTAGCGGACCCGGCAGATGTGCGCGAGGCAGTGGTGGTAGGTGCCAAAGGACACGGACGAGACCAGGGACACAGTGCACACGGGCAGCGAGAGGCCCCTGTAGAAGCCCCGCAGCTGGGGCAGGTGCAGGGGCCCCGAGGCCCGAGTCAGGCCGGAGGAGCGGCTGCCCTTGGGGCCCCTGGAGCCAGGAGCCAGCTCTCACCTCTCACCCCCTGCCACGGGACCTCGGCAAGGCAGCCTCAGCTTCCTCAGCTCTACAACGGGGATTGTAACACCCTGGAAGCCAGGCCCGCCCCCGGGCTGCTGTGACGATAGTGGTGCTGAACTGGCAGCGTGGCCTCTGCTGTTTCTCTTTCGCTCCCCTCTGGCTGGCACCCATTCCCAAGTTCACTTTGGCAAGTGTCCCTGAGACCCCACCTCCAGATGGGGCTCTGAGCTGGACCCCTGATGACTCCACCCAGCATTCTTTGGAGGGGTGCCCCGCCTGGTGGGTCCTCCCCTGACCTTTGAAGTCCCCTGAAGCCCCTTCCAGATCCTCTCCTGGAGGCAGGACCTCACTCTGAGCGCCTCCTATGTGGCAGAACCCCAGCTCTCGTCCTCAGAGGAATCCAGGGGGCTGGTACAGCTGTTCCCGTTTGGAAGGTGCGAGAACGGAGGCTCGGAGAGGAGCCCAGGATTGCCAGGCAGGCTGCTGAGTGGCAGCCCCAGAGCCCACCCCCTGTCCATGACCCTGGCCCCAGGCCTACCTGCTCCCGGTGATACGTGTCCTGGACGCAGTCCCAGATGCCCGTGTACTTGGGCTCCGTCTGGATCCTGACCTGTGGGAGGAGTGGGCTTCAGGAAGGGGTGGCTCCAGGCCCGGGGCAAGGTCGGCAGGCCCTGGGGAAGGGCAAGAGCCAATCCCTGATGGTTGAAGTGACAGTGACCCCCTTCAAGGTGAGCGACCTGAGTCTCAGCAGGGAGAAGGGAGCGCTGACGGTCCTGAGTACCCGAGGGGAGGTTGGGGGGGTAGAGACAAGGTCTGCCCAGCAGGCTAGAAAGTTCTTCCGGCCATAGATGGGGACCTGAGCCCAGGCAGGGTCTTGGGGTGGGTGGCAGAGGCCTGGCCGTACCTTCACCGTGTCCAGGGGGTAGCCCACAGCAACGCCGCAGACACCTGTCAGAACCCAGGGGAGCTGGTGAGGAGAGCAGGAGCCCGAACCATCTCAGCAAAGGAGGGGGGCCTGACCACACTCTTCCTGTCCATACCACGTCTCAACAGAGGGGGAGCGCGACCGCCATTGTACAGATGAGGAAACTGAGGCTTAGAGAGGTAACGTGATGTCAGCCAGGCTGCCAGTGGTCTCTACTTCCGAGTCTTGGCTCCCTGGACCCTCCTTCTGAGAGGCAAGGGTGCTTCACGGCCTCCCCTCCGGCATCACGTTTCAGAAGAACTGGTCCATTTGCTGGGCCCTGTCTCCTAGCCAGGCTGAGCTCATGGTCAAGCCTCAGTCTGTAAAGGGTCTGTCTGCAGGCCAGCAGGCTGCTGCGCCTTGCAGCTGCGGGGGGTGACAGAGGGGGCACAGCCCTGGCAGAGGCTGGGGGCGGAGAAAGCCCAGGGCAGCAGGCCTCTGAGGGGGATTGCTGGAAGCACAAGTTTGCGTGAAACAGAGTAGAACTCGGGGCTTCCCGGACCAGGGCCCTCTGCCTCCTGCCGAGAGGACACCTGCCGCCTTCTTTCCCTTTCTCCTTTCCTAACACCGGGGTCTCAAGCTCCAAGCCCCCAGCACTACCACGCGGAACACAGAGAGCGGGCAGGTCCCTGGGGTTTCATCCCGAGAGTGGGGGGCTCGGTAAGGGCCACCTGAAAACAGCAAGGTATGTGGGGGCTGTGCCTATTTGTTATGTAGCCCAGGACTCAGTAAATACGCATGAATGAAATAATAAAGTGAATGAATGCACAAGTGAAAGAACAAAAAGAGTGAAGCCAAAACATGACTCACTGACTTGAGGAGAATTACCTTCCTCAACCCTTACATACGGGCTTCCCAGGTAGCTCAGAATTTGGCCTGCAATGCAGAGACGTGGCAGGAACCACCGGTTCAATCCTTGGGTTGGAAAGGTCCCGTGGGGAAGAGAAAATGGCAACCCACTCCAGTATTCTTGCCTGGGAACTCCCACGGACAGAGGGAGCCTGGCGGGCTACAGTCCATGGGGTTGCAGGGTCAGAAATGACTGAATGACTAAGCACGCACACAGGGACAACCTTTACATATACCACACCAAACTCCTACTCATGCATCAAAACCCTGCCACACCATCGCCTCCTCTCTGGAGGCTTCCCTGACTCCCATACGCTGGGCTGCCCCTATGCCAGAAAACACATTGGTCACATGGCCATCACAGGGCTTTGCTGCTATCCAGAACGAGGGTTCCTCAAGGAAAAGGCCCAGGTCTGCCTCCCCCTGTCCCAGTGCCAGGCACAGAGAGCAGGAACCCTTTCCACCCAAGCCTTCCTGGGGCCCTGGCAGGAAGACGCGGGACTCGGGAGCCCTTCCTGCTGTGAGATCCTGGGCAGGTCAAGCCCCGGCTGCTTAGGGGGCTGATGTCCAGGGGAGCCTCAGGCCCAGCCCCCAGAGGGGACCTCAGACAGCCCACTGGTAAGGCCAGGGCCTGGGTCATTCCCATCTCAGCACTGCTCACCCCTTCTGAACAGAACACCCCACGCTATTCCTAGAAGTATTGATGAGCAGCCCCTGCCGTTTCACAAGAGGACAGAGGTCGAGGGCATCTCACCCAAAATAGCCGGTGCAAGCCAAGCTGGGAGGAGCAGAGCCCCTTCCTGGATCCGGCTTTCACAACAGCCTTCTCTCCGGAGGTGAGAATGGGCTGGAGGCCCAGCCAGGTGGGAGCGGGCCCACGGGTGTACACAGCCAGGGAGCCGTTGGGGGTACCAGGCTCATCTGGGACCCTCCCCCACCACGCTGCTGCCCTTACAGTCAGCCCGACAGGTCCCCACCATCCACCCTGTCCTGGAGCCTCTCGGCCCATCCTTCTCCATGCGTATGATTCCCAGCCTCCCCCTGGCCAGGTGGAGAGACCACCCACCCTCTACACCCCCACCGCTGCCCGCCCCTCGGCCTCCAGGCCGAGCCCCGGAGCAGAGTCACCCCCACCCAGCTCTTCCTGGGCTCTGGGCCACCTGCCCCTTCGTCCCCAGGGAAACCTCCTCTCTCCTCCCAGCACCTGTGGCACCCCCGCCAGGCACCGGCCACTTCCTAGAGGCCTCAAACCTCACTGCTTCCCCGGACAGAGCGCCCCTTCCAGCCCCCCCACCCCACCCTGGTTCCCCCAGGAGCAACAGCCCCCTCTGACGCCCCACGGTGCCCACTCTGACCTCCGATGGCTCCAGCAACAAAATCCATGGACAGTGCGGGTGGCGGGGAAGGCGCAGAGGTCAGGCTGCCTGAGAGGTCTGTCTGGTGCCACCACCAGGGTGGCGTCCGAAGCTCCCCGCGGGCTCCTCGCAGACCTTAAATACCCGCGGTGGGGGCAGGGACAGGAAGCAGAGCCTGCTGACCAGTGGCCCCAGAGGCAGAGGCTGTGCCAGGCCACAAGCGGGTCAGTGCCCACCTGGACTCCCTCCCACCTGTTCCAAAGGACCCTTGTCCCAGTGCCCTCGGGATCCAGGCCACGGGTGATGTCAGATTCAGAAAGCAGGATCACCGTGGCCACCACCTACAGGCCGGGGTTTCGGACCAGCCCCTGGGGAGGCTGTGATGCCCCCCGCATCTCTCCAAACCCAAGCTCAGCCCTTATCCATCCCTGGGCCTCCCTGACTCCCCTGGAGTTGCTCCTGCCTGGGTATCCATCAATGCTCCCTCACTTATTCATTCAACAAACAATCTCTGAGTTGAGGCTGCATTCAGGCAGCCCAGTCCCATCCCCAGGGAGCTCCAGCTAACAGGGAGGGCGTGGGGGCGATGGGCCACCAAGGACAAAGCCTCAGGGAGGCGGCCAGGGCCTCCTGTGAGCAGCCCAGCCACAGGCCAAGGTCTCCTCCACGTCCTTCTACCACACTGGGCCCCACTCCCCTTGCTACTTCCACATCCGTCTACGTGTGCCCAGGGCTCCAGCCAGATCCAACTCTTGAGTCCCCAGCACCCAGCTCGGACCCAGCTCTGAGCACGGCTCGCTGAGCGAGGGGACCAGGGGCCAGGGCTCCCGACCTCGCCGCTAACCAAATCAGGGCGCTCCTAAAGGGGAAGCCACTCCAATAAAAGGCTGGTCACTGGGAACCATTGTAAAGGATGGTGACCTCTCCCTGGCCGTGCCCCCCACTTTAGTTAACCAAGCCCTCCTCCTTCACCATCTCAGGGCGTCCTTGTCACAGCCCCAGGAAGAGGCAGGGCTGATGGTCCCATTTTACAGATGGAGCCACTGAGGTCCAGGAAAAGGACGCATCCAGGGCCATGCAGGCAGCAGGGCTGGATCTGGTCACTGGATACTTACCCAACCAGCCCCTCTCTGATGCCTCGGGCCAGGCCCTGAGACCCATGGGCCCTGCCCTGATGACTCACCCCCACGTGACACCAGAACGCAGCCCTTCATGGACACCGAAGTTCAGGGAGGCAGTGCACTTGCCCAGGGTCACATACAGTGTGTGTTCTGCCAACCAGGAAGCTGGCAGGACTGGGAGAGGTGTTGACATGGCAGCGCCCGGGCAGCCCCCTCCAGGCAGCCCTGGGGTTGTGTATCCACCTGCTTCCTGTCCCCTGACTGGTGGACCACAGGCTGACCTTGACCAGGTCACGCTGACAGACGGGGAGCCCCGCCTCCTGCTCAGGTGTTTGTGGGACGGGTGGGGAACACAGGCTGGCAGCATCCGCTGCCACGACAGAGGACAGAGGGCAAGAGGCAGGCGGTCCAAGGCCAGTCCTGAGGCCCACCTTGACCTTTAGAGAGATGCAGGCCAGCGTCCAGTTAGGAGCCAGGCCACCCACCCTCAGATCCCAGCCCCGAGACCTTGGGCAAGCCCTTGACTTTCCCCTACCTCCGCCTCTGCCTCCACGAGAGGAGGACGGCACCTGCGTCGCGTCGGGGACCACTTGGGGCACGCTCCGGGTGTGTCCCTGTGGGAGTAGCCAGCCAAACATGCAGGTTGCCTTAGTAGGACCGCAGGTTCTAGAAAGAGGGAGGGGACAGGCCTGTTCTGAGCAGGCCACATCCAGCTGGGATGCTACACTGCCGAGGCCAGTCCTTCGGACGGTGAGGGAACTTGAGGCATGCGGCCTAACTGAAGAAATGGAGTGGTCAAGTTCCATGTTTCCTGCAGTCAAACCCGGGCACCCGAGCCAGAGCCAGGAACCACCCTGGATGCCTTTCCGCCTGCACCCCGCATCCTGTGAGGCGCCCACTCCTGAGGGCGACCCCTTGACGATCACGCTCAGATCCACTCCCTCTACCCATCTGCACAGCCCCGAACAAGTTGGTCTCCCAACAGCCCACCCTGCCCATGCCTCCCCCCACGCCCCCACTCACACCCCCAGACGTGCCCCCACCCACGCCCCCAACCATGCCCCCAGCTGCTTGGTCTCCCAACAGCCCACCCTGCCCATGCCTCCCCCCACACCCCCACCCACACCCACAGACATGCCCCCACCCAGGCCCCCAACCATACCCCCCATCACGCACCCACTCATGCCCCCAACCATGCTCCCAACCATCCCCCCAACCATGTCCCCAAACATGCCCCCCAACCACACCCCAACCATCCCCCCAACCATGCCCCCACCCATACCCTCGCCCATACCTCCCACCCACACAAGAAACACTTCCTGCCTACTGCATGCCGCATCCTAGGCACCAGGCCACTTTAATAAACACAGCAGTAAACACGGGCAAAAGTCCCTTCCCTGTGGCTCTTGTGATCCAGGGGAGGAGACAGACAACCAACACAAAAAATAATCTAAATAATGAGTCTGCCAGAGAGCAGCCTAAGCCAATGAGAGTCGGAGCAGGGAGGGTTGGGATGGAGGATGTGAGGGCCGCCCTGGAGGTGGCACTGAGACAAGCATGTTTTCTCGGTCACTGTCGCCAAGTTTCACGCGCCCTTTGCCCCCTGAACAAACATACCCAGACTACCCTTCGCCGCAGCAGAAACAGAAAACATGCCGCCTCACTGCAGAGGCTTCCCTGTGCAGGTCTCAACACGTCCCCTGCCAGCTCCCAGCTGCTGGCAGGCAGGGCCGTGCTGGATCTGTCTCTGAGCCCACAGTGCCGGCCTGCGGTGGGCACCCTGGGGAGAGCGGATGAATAAATGCCTGAAAAAAATTAGCCAGTGAGTGGATGGGTGGAAGGATGGACAGATGGTCAGAAGGACTGACAGACGGAAGGACAGACAGGTGGATGAACCCGGGGCAGAGTCATCTGCTCGCACCTGACCCAGGACACGGCAAGGAAGCCCCCTGGTGGCAGGTTTGGGCTCAGGAGGGACTGTGGCTCAGCCCCCTCCGGGTTTGGGGGAGACAATGGCACCCCCCACATGGTTTGGGGGAGACAACAGGCGGCCGTCTCAGCCTGGATTTGGCTCCTGGCTCCGCCCCTCCCAGCTGTGTGACCTTGGGTCAGTGGTGCGACCTTTCTGAGTCTTGCGTGTGTGGCAGGAGCCAGAGCCCAGGGCACCCGCTGGGGCCACCCCGAAGGGTCACTGTTCCAAGCAGCAAGGTGGGCTTTAGGCTTCCTTCAACAGCGGGGCTTCACCCCGCGCGGCTCCGGATGGCCCAAGGGAGGAATTCCGAGCCATCCTGTAGAGGGAGACAGACACGTTGCAGACACCAGGGGCCCCGGGACGAGGGGGAAGGGGGCTGCAGGCGGGGTGCCGCGGAGGAACCTGGTATCCTAAAAGGCGCGCTTACACTTTATAACAAGGGGGGTAACTTCAAGTTCCTCACAAGACATCCAGACCAAAGAGGCGCAGCGGCATCGAGGCGAAGGCCCCGCCTCCCAGCAGGACGCAGGCAAACACCTCTGTTTTTACTATGTTGCGACTTGCTGCCTTTCCTTCTCAACTCGTCTGGGACGCCGTGCACCTGGGAACTCACTCCTCCGCGTGTCCACAGTGCCCGTGGGGTGGACCGGTAGGCTGAGCCGGGCTGCCTGGGCGCGGCCCTCCCCGAGGGTCTCTCTCTGTGAGGTCCCCCGGGGGCCTCAGCGTCCTTGTCTGTGAAATGGCAGCTATGTTGCCTTCCACCCGGAAGGCTCTGGGAGGACTAAAGGGTCAGCAGGCCCTAGGCTCCTGGAGCCAAACCTGGAGCTCTGAGTATCACTGTTATGGGATTTCCCAGGAGGCCCAGGGGTTAAGACTCCCTACGCAGGGTGGGCACAGGTTCAATCTCTGCTCGGAAACGAACATCCCACAAGCTGCATGGTGCAACCGAAATAAAGGAATAAATATCACTGTTAGGATGTAACTTGTGGGTGATGTCCAGGACAGGCAGGTGGAGTACGCCTGTACAAAGCAGAGAGTGCTCCAGGAATTATGCTTTGAGGTCTTCGCGTTTCAATGGGTACATTCTCAGAGGGGAATTCACTGGGTCAAACACCCCTGAACGATTTACATTTATTTTTTGGGGGGGCGGGGGGCCGGCCGGCTGGCCTGGGTCTTTGCTGTCGAGCCCAGGCTTTCTCTAGTTGCCGCCTGGTGGGGGCTACTCTCTCTGTGGTGTGAAGTCTTCCCATTGCAGTGGCTCCTCTTGTTGCAGGGCACCGGCTCCGTAGGTGTGGCTCACGGGCTTAGCTGCCCCGCGGCACGTGGCATCTTCCTGGACCAGGAACCTAACTCGTGTCCCCTGCATTGGCAGGCAGATTCTTAACCACTAGACCACCAGGGAAATCCACCTGAACTATTTTTACCTATTTTAACTATTTTTACCTTTGCCATTTTGGCAGGATTTGGAAGGGTAGGGATGGGGGCAGTGGGACTTCCAGGCAATGAGTCCAGAGTGGGCGCTGGGACACTGAGCCAGCTCCAGAGATGGGCATTTCCAGAAAATGGGGCTCCTTGGCAAGACTCGGATGAGTTCAGGAGATTCTGGAGTCTTCCTGGCTCACTCTGTGACACTGTAAGCCTCCGTGTCTTCATGTGTAAAATGGGACAGGAGATGAGTTTGTGTGCTCAGGGGCTTGGCGCCTGCCATGCTCTGCCTGCATCCCACGACGCCCCGCTGGATGCTGCAGACCACACAGCCACAGGTGGGAGCTGAGGCTCACCCACCTTCGGGTGGGTGACCCTCTAGGGTGTGACTGGTTTGCAGGGTGGGTGACCCCCCACCTGAGACCTCCCAGACACCCTGGCCTCCCTCTGACATCCTGAGGGGTTCGGGCCCTGGCTCCCAGGGTCTGAAAGCATGCGATAGGGCATGCCCAGCCTGTGCCTCCGCTGGGGCAACGGGGCCAGCAGGAAGGGGTGCCCCCAGCTCCCCAGCTCCATGCCCCCCAGCAGCGGTGTCTTCACGTCTGAGCTCAGCATGGAGTTCCAGGCCCCTGGAGCCACCCCCGTGTTACAAACAAGGACATCGTGGGCCAGAGAGCAACAGTGACAATTAGGGGAAGACTGGAATTTCAGCCCGCTGCCACGGGGGGGGGGGGGGGGGGGGGCGGCACTGATTAATATGACCCCGAGACTCAGTTTTCCTATCTGCAAACAAGGACGACAGCCACCTGAGGCAGGGCTAACGCAGGTAAGGACTTTGAAGGCTCCCCGGCTCTGGTCATCAGACTGAGCAGAAGTGACCCTTGGAGTGCCAGCCAGCAGCCTCAGGCCTGGGCCAGCAGTCAGGTGCCTGCAGTCCTGCCCTGTCCCCACCCACTCCCTGGCACATCTCTTCAGTTCCCAGATGCCAAAGCCGTAACCTAAGCCCTTCCGGTCACGTTGTGCAGCCCCTCCTGTTTTCCAGGCCCCTGTGACCCCTTCAGGGATGTACAGGAGGCATCCCTGGGGCCCACTGGCTGGGAGGTTCTCTCCAGGACAAGGTAACCTGACACCGTCAAGACCCAAGGCCCCGGAGGGTTAGATTGAGGAATGAGGCTCTCCTCAAGGCAGGGCCTGAGGCCTATCGGGTCTGCTGATCTGGGAATGGAAGCTATTGACTGCTGTCAATAATTCATTCCTTCATTCCAGGGCATACATTCTCATGCAAAGCCCACGTTGGGTGCGGGGATCCAACAATGATTCAGAGGCTTGCCCGGCCTCCCTGCAGCCCTGGCCTGGCTGGGGAGTACATTCCTTCTCTGGGACTGCCCAAGAAATTATCCCCATGCGGAGAAGTATCTGACACCAAACATTCATCATCTCACAAGTCCTGCGGGTCAGGAGATGGGACCAGCTTAGACGCGTGGCTCTGGCTCAGGGTCTCTCACGCTGTGGCCACCTGAAGCCATCTGGGGGGCCGGTGGAACACCCCCCCAGAGTGACGCACTCACGGGGCTGTCGGCCGGAGGCCTCAGTTGCTGGCCTCACGGACCTCCCCACAGGACCGCCTGCATGTCCTCACAAGGGGCCTAATGTCCCCCGAAGTCAGGGGTCCCAGAGAGAGCAAGGGGGAGGCCGCAGGGCCTTTATGCAGCCATGGTGCTCCTGAAGGGGGAGGCCCCAATCACAGGCAGGACTGGAGCGCCCACCGGGGGTCAGGGGGGCATCCCCAGCGTGGCAGAGACCCGCAGGCAGGCAGTGCCGGGTAAGGCTGAGAAGCAGGTTGTTGTAACTGGGGGAGGCGCCTGGAACACCCAGGCTGGAGCACGTGGACAAGGCTCATTGTTGCGGGCACGGCACATCCAGTGGAAGCGGCGGCCTGGTGGGGTAGACGCTGGGGAAGGATGGGAGGCTGGGACAAAGTGTCATGGAGGAGGAGCTGCCCAAGCCAGCTGGGAAGCAAAGACAGGCACTTCCTTTTTTTGTTTTTATTTTTTTGCTACACTGTACAGCGTGCAGAATCTTAGTTCCCTGACCAGGGATGGAACCTGGCATACTTTAACGGGAAGTGCCTGAGCGCAGGCTCATCAAGGACCACCCCACACCCACACCCACACCCACAGGCACAACAGATGCTTAAAGGGGTGACAGAGGCCTTTCCGTGACCCTCCCTTTGGACAGCAAGGCCCTGAAAGGGGTTCATCTGGGAGGTGAGCCTGCCCCCCAACACCCGCCGGGGGCAAGGCACAGGAGCCAAGAGTCAGGCGTACAAGTGGGCCAAGGACGGGGTTTTGGTGGGGGCTCCAGGGGGCAGAGCCCGAAGGAACAGAGTGGGGGTCAGAGGGGAGGATCATGGCGTGGGCAGAGGGGTCCATGCCCCCTGCTGGGCCACGGGCGACTGCCCGAGGCTGGGCCGTCAGGACTGAGGAAGCCCCGTCCCACCGGAGAGGTTCTGGAAAGGGAAGCTCAGACTTGGGTTCCGAGAACCACGGCGGGCTCCTGGGTTCCAGGAGGCCCTTCTTCAGCCCTTTCTCTGCCCCTTCCAGCGCTCCCCAAGGCACCCGCCTGCTATCCCAACACACATTCCCTGCCTGGAGCATCACCCCGCCCACTCCCGCCCGGCTGCCAACTGCACCCACACCGCCTCACCCTGCCGCCCCAACCCCAGCCCGGGCACTGCCCTGGGTGCCCGCTCACACTGCCCGACAGCCCCGGACCGCCTGCGGTCCAGCCACCCCCCCCACCATGACCGAGAGCGCCCCCAGAGGGCACTGCCACAGGCCTGGCCACCCCTTCGCTGACCCAAGGGCCTCACTCCACGAGGCCCGAGGGCATCAGGCATACCCCGTGTCCGCGCTTGGCCGAGCCCCTGGGCCCTGACCAGTTGACCCAACCCCAGCTGGGGGCCACCCCTGTGGCCTTCTGGGTCTGGGGCACCCTTGGGTGGATCCCTTTAACTCTATTTTTACACCAGAAGCACTCGCCGTGTCTATTTATATCATGCCCCTTCTTGAGTTTCTGGTCATCGCTCCATCTGGCCGGAGCCTCCCTCGCTTCAGCGTCTCGGTCCACCCGCTCCATGGCCAAGTGGGTGCAGAGAGAGCAGAGGCCATACCCGCCCTGGGGACTCAGCCCTGGGGACCATGGTGACTGCGTCCAACTGAACGAAGATGCCAGAAACCCGCACGGTGTGGTGGCCACACTGGGGCTGACGAAACTCAACTGAGACTTGAACTCCACAAAATCCACCCAACAGGAGAACGCTGAGCATCGCAGACTCGGGAGGGGCCCCCAGGATAGGGACTGGCTCTCCCCAAGGGGTCCCAGGCCCTCCCCTCTTTGAGGCACAGAGCTGACTCACTCACCGGGGAGGCTGAGTCACTCCCAGAGTAGACCGGACCTGAGGTCGGAGGGACATCCAGACGGAAGACGTTTACCCGCCAAGGAGAAAGACCCGTGGGGCGGAGCCAGCCCATCAGCACCTGGTGCTCGGTCCAGGTGGTCCCCCAGCACAAAGCCACCCCCACCCCTGTTCCCTGCTGGGTCTTCCACACAGCCAGGAGCAGTGCAAGTGGAGACTGGGAAGCAAAACTGAGCCAGAGACCCCTGAACCTGTCCTGGGAGAAGGTCTCCATTCCTGAAGAGGCCGGTTTCAATGCAAGTTTTACCCTCACCTGCTCCCTGAGGCCAAGGTGGGGCCTTGAAATCTGCACTTTTAGCTGTCTCCCTGGGAGACTCCAATCCCAGAGGTCTGGGGGGAACTGTGGCCACAGGGCAGGACAGTCCAGAGCCCAGGTCCCCTCACCCAAGGCTGCCTGCTCACCCCCTGCTGTGTGCCAGGCCCTGTTTAGGGTTACTTAAGGTCCCTGCCCTGGTGGAGCAAACATTCTAGAGGAAGAGAGGTGTTAAACATTTAGAGGAACAGGCAGTGTCATTCTAGGAGCTGGGGCAGAGCCCAGTGGGATGGGGGGCTCCGAAGCCAAGCCCCTTTTGAGGAGCTGAGAGTTGAGCGGGGACTTGAGCCCTGGAGAGGACTATGCCAGGCTGGGAGGAGGAGCGCCCGCCTTGCGGACACAGCCAGTGCAAAGGCCCTGAGGCAGGAACGAGCTTGCAGTTGTGAGGGTGCGGCCAGGTACCTCTGAGCCTGGGTTTTATTCCAAGTGGGAGGTGTGGGAGGCAGTTGACAGCCACACCCTCCCCACTGGTCTGTGCCCAGGAGCTTTGGAACCGGTTTCAGTGGCTCCCATCCTAAAACTATACCTGCCCTGGCTCCAGCCTCGCCCAACTCCCCACAGGGTCTACCCAGCAGGTGCCTCAGCCCACCCCCTACCCCACTCGCCCTGAGACAAGGAGCTCCAGCCTTGCTCCCCACCCAACCCCGGGGGCCAAATAGCCTCCCACCATTGAATTCAACAGATTCCAGGGTGAGAACCTTTTTTTTAAACCTGCTGCCTTTCTAATTTTCCCACACCCAACCTGTCTTGGGTAAGGAATTACAAACGTTCTGCAAACAAAATCTCTGCCACACACTCTCAGTGACCTGGCCTGACCCCTGGTGCCCCATGACACGTTTCCCCTCCTTGCTGTCCCCCTACTGCTCTGGCCTTGGGCCCCTCCCACCTCTTCAAGGCTGGGGTCTGAGCCCCCCTGCAAGGCGGCCTCTCCTGGGAGGGCGGGAGGGTCCCGGGGCCCTGTGGAACTGAGAAGTTTGAAAAAGCACAGACTGTGCTGTAATCTTATCAGGAAATGAAGCAGAACAGACATGGACCCCAGCGGCTGATGTAATGATGCAGGCCCAGTGCCTACAAACTCATTTCCTTGGCTAAGGCATCTTCACTTCCCCTGCCAGCTGCGTAGGAGGCCCTGGAGGCCAGGGAGGTGGGTCTGCCCTGTGCCCGCTCCAGGCACAGAGCACCACCCAAATGAATGATTCTTAGGCAGCAGGAATCACTTTTTTTTTAATGCACGATTCTTTTTTTTTTTTAAGTTACTTGGCGGTGTCAGGTCCTAGTTGCGACTCTCGGGATCTTTTGGGGCACACGGGCTTTCTAGTTGCGGCGGCGCACCGACTTGCTTGCCCTGCGGCTTGTGGGATCTTAGTTCCCCCATCAGAGATCAACCTGTGTCCCCGGGAGTGCAAGGTGGATTCCTAACCACTGGAACCATCAAGAAGTCCTTGCATGATTCTTTAGGGAGGCACGGCTTTCAGGGTGGTCTCGCAGTTTAGTCAGCCAGCAGTACACCCCAGTGACCCCAGCCCCTAGCAGTGCCTGCTCTCGCCCCTTCCTCACTGCCTCCCCAAACACTGTTTCCAGCAGACTCTGGGATGCACAGGCAGCTGCCCTTGGGGTGCTCCCAGTTGGAGGTCGACCCCCAGCACCCACCAGGGGCACACCTGCCCAGAGCCCACCCCTCCACTGCTCACCACTTGCTGGACCTCTGTCCCCAAAGCCAACAAGCCTCGGTTTGAACACTGGCTCCCCCAGTCCAGCCCCTCTCCAAGTCCTCCCTGCAGGGTGCACAGCTGGATGCAGGATCCATCCCACCGCCACCTCTGCGGCTCCCCCACCTGGATGCCTGCAGGATCTGCCCAAACGCAGCTTTCCCCAAGAAGTTTTCTGAAGCTCAAATACTGAGCGCTTCTTGTGTACCAGGCCGCTGGGCCTGCCCAAGGACGGGAGTCAGGGCTCATGCAAGCTGCCCCAAGCACGACATTAACTTAAAGGCACTTGTGTTCTCTTTGTCTCATCAATTGGTCCATAATAATTTTCTGACTTACTGCCCTGTTAAGGTTCTTGACTCTCCTCCAAAAACAGATACGGAGGCTGCAGGCATCTGTGCTTTGCCCCTTGAGGCCTCAGCAACCCAGGGACCCCCTGTTTCTAGAGGTGAGTCACCCGGATGTAGGTTGTCCAGTTTAATCGCCGTGACCTCAAGGCCTCCAGCCAGCTCCCACCTGGGTTTTGAGTCTGGGCTTCTCCTGGGGCCTGCAGGCTTTCCTGGCTCATGAGTCTTGTCAGAGGCTGGTGATATTCAAACCCAGGCCTCCAGACCCCTAGTTCAGGGCCCACCAGCCATCACAAGCACTGGACTAGGAGTCAGCAGACCTGGGTTTGGGTCTCAGGTCAATGGATGTTCTCTTTAGATTCTAAGAATAAAAGGAAACCATGCAGAATCATTGGATTTAGAGAGGCCTCTGATCACCACGATAGTTACTTAATGCACCCGGGAGGTATTCCCTAGTAGCAAGTATATATAATCTTTAAAACCTGTCCCTGAGGTATATATCCATGGTAACCTCCTTGTCGATCTCAGAAATAGTAACGTACAAATAAAAGAACTGTGTGATCTGCAACCAGGAAACACCGGACTGTGTGTCCTAATCTCAAGAGCGTGAAGGAAGTTGGGCGAAGGCCTTAAGTTATCATCTAACTCACGGTGAGGGAGAAAGCGCCCGGCCAAGTCCCAGCCGCACAGTCCGGACTTCACGAGGTGCTGGAGAAGGGAAAGGGGTAGTCTCTGACCCGGACGCTCCCCAGGGAGGGGGTCCCTGGCCGCGGCCAATCCCGGGGATGGGGAAAAGCGGACGCGGAGCAGAGTCGGATTCTGCTCTTACTTCACCCACCCCCACCTCCCGCCGCCCAGCTACCTGCGTAGACCGGAGCCCAGCACCCTCCCACTTGGCCTTCTCACATTCCCTCTCCACCGCCAGGCGTTCCAGGCCCCGAGGCCTTCCAGAGCCGCGGCTCAGTGACCGCCCCCTTTGGCCACACCGCGCCCGATATGGCCTCTCTCGCCTCGCGGCTCCAGAAAGAGTCCAAGAACCTCCCCTCCGCACAGCTTTCCGCGGCTCCCGCAAGTTTGCGCACCGAGGTCCTGGCCACGCCCTTCGACCCTCGCGCGGCGAGCCAGGAGGCCGGGAGCCCCAGGCCCACCGGCCGGAGGGCGCACAGACGGGGGGCGGTGGGGCGAAGACTCCCCCGAAGGGGCGTTCCGCCGCTCGAGGAGTGTTACAATTAGTGTCCCAGCCTGCTGGCCTTGGAGGGTCCCGGCGCTCCATCTCCGTTAACCGCGGCGCGTTCCCATTATGCAAGCAAGGACCCTGAGCTTGGGCAGTGGAGTTGGGCTCTGAACCCAGGCCCCAAGGATACCAGGCCCCCGGTCCAGAGCGAGGGCACGCCACCCCCCGCCCCGCTGATCCGCGTCGCGCAGGCCGGGAAGTTCCCAGGCCGCGCCGGCCCGGGTCTCCCAGGACGCACCGACCCCACCGTCCAGCCACGGCGGCGCACGCCCTGCTTCCTCTCCGCCGGGGGCGGCGCGGGCGGGCGCACGAAGCGCATTCTTTGTCTGCAGCGCCTCCGCACCTCCCCCGCCCGCCTGCCCGCTACGTGGCCCCGCCTCGCCCGCACCCCAGGTCCGCCCAGGTCCGCCCGGCCAATGAAACGCCGCGGCGGCGCGCGGGGCCCGGGGCGTTGTCCGCGCCTCGCCCGCCCATTGGCTGAGCTCTGCTCCCCGCCCGAGCCCCGGCCGGCTGGCCCGGGGGGCGGGACGCGCGGCCCGAGGTGAGGGACCACGGGCGGCGTACAGAAGATCGCAAAGGCCGGCCAGCCGGCTAGCGAGGGACAAACGCCCGGCAAGGAGTCGCGCGCTGAGCCGCCGCCACCGCTACTGCCAGACCCCAGCCTGCGCGGGGCTCCGTGCCAGAAGGCGGCGGCCAGGCCGAGTCCCAGCCCAGCAAAGCAGGGAGGGCCCCCGACGGCGACCAGTCCGGCGAGGGGTCAGCGAAGGAGGACCCGGAGGAAGGCGGCTTCACTGGGGACCCGGCAATGGCGCTCGACTTTCTGGCTGGATGCGCTGGGGGTAAGGAAGCGGGCGGGTCCTGCCCGGGTGAGCGCGGGGGCCGGGGACGCCCGGCTCCCGGGGACGAGGCGTTCGGCCTGGGAGGCCAGCTCACCTGCGACCTCTCGGCCCCGTGGCTTGCCCTATGGCTGAGATTTCCTCCTCTGTAAGATGGGTTAGCTGTGCTCCTGTTTCACGGGATTCTTGTGGGCGTGAATTGACATCAGGCCCGGAGGGCCCCTAGGGCGCTGTCCACCAAGGCAACTGTCTTTTAAGTCTTTCGCAGCACGTTCGGACGAGCGATCTGGGGCTCGGGGACATTACCGTGGCTGCCAGGGGACCGCCAGAAGGATGCCCCACCACCCTCCTTGCCGAGGCCAGCGGACGGCGAGGCTCCGAGCCCATCTCCCTCACGCTGTGCCCCAGCCTGCGCCGACCCGGAGCAGGGTCCCCTCCCTGAGCCCAAGAAGTTTGAAACTGCCTCCACCCCGTCTCCCGCAGCCATGTGGGTGGGCTGGGGCCGGGGGCTACCGGACGACCCCCTAGTGAGATGGCCTAAAAGGCGTGGGCCTGACCCCAGGCGCCTAGTCACGCCTTAGCGCCCGCCCCCTTCCTGCGCGGTTCTTAGGAGCAGACTGGCGGGGGTGGGGCGGGGGGTGGTGAAAGCGTAAGTCACTCAGTCGTGTCCGACTCTTGGCAACCCCATGGCCTATACAGTTCATGGGATTCTCCAGACCAGAACACTGGAGTGGGTAGCAATTCCCTTCTCCAGGGGATCTTCCCAACCCAGGGATCAAACCGAGGTCTCCCACATTGCAGGCAGATTGTTTACCAGCTGAGCCACCAGGGAAGCCCCTGGGAGGGGGGCAGAGTAGGCCTTGGGCTCAGGAGTGCACCCGGTGTGGGGCACCTGCCCCGAGGCCGAGCTGCCCCGCGGCGCTGAGGCCGTGTCCCCCCCCGCGGACCTTGAGTCTGCGTTCCTCTGGGCTGGCTGTGGCCTGACCATGGGCGCTGGGCACTGGCACTTCCCTCTTGGGCCTTTAGTGTCTGTTTTTCTTGTAGAGTTAATTTATTCAGCAGGTATTCACTGGGAGCCAGGTTTAGCTGTCAGGGACTCAGCAAGCTGACAGAAGTGCCAGAGGACAGGCTGAGTGTCCCCAAGCCCTGCCCAAGCTCTGACACTGGGCGCTTGTCTCCTCCAGCAGGTCACCTGCCCCCCGGTGACTCCAGTAACGCTCTCAGCTACCTGCCAGCCAGCGGCTCCCTGGGGGAAGAGGAGTGTGGAGAGCAGCCTTAGGCACATAAACCGGTACGGTGCTAGCTTCTTGAGAGGAGGAGGCTGATGCAGAAGGGAGTGTGCTGGGACGTGACCCAGACGGTTACCCAATCAGGCCTCCAGGCCCCAGAGCTTTCTGGCCCGTTTCTTCCAAGCCCAGGTGCCGGAGGAGACAGGAGGGGCCGACCTCCATGGACCAAGCTGTCAGTTTCGCCCTGTCCATTCCCCTCTCTGCTGTTCCCACCCCCGCTCCCAGGGGCCTCCCCTTGTGTCCTGCCACCAGGCCAGGGGCTCCTCCAGGGTAGGGGGTGGGCAAACCCTTCTCTACCCCACCCCCAGTGGGGGCTCAGTCCCAGGGCCAAGACCCCTTTGCAGCTTCTTGAGGAGCATGGGTTCTTCCCCCAGAGAAGCAGGATCCCTTCTGTATTCACACAGGTGTGCTGGGAGCTGCGGGGTTTGGGGTGGGAACACTCTAGGTAAAGTCAGACCCATCCCTTCAGACACACACGGTCAAGTCACCCTGGGCTCTTGCTCACCAGGGCCCCTGCCCATCCTCATCACGCCCACCTGGGAGAGACCCTGGCCAGGCCCTGGGTTGGCGAGTGGAAGGTACTCCACGGCCCCCAGACCTGTGGTCCTACCTGGGTCCAGGTGGACACCTAGGGCTGGAGGTGCCTGTGCTTCCCCCGTGGTGTGAGTGGAGATGGGCGAGGGTAGAAGGGACCCTCTCTCCTGGTGTTACTTGACCCAGGAGAAACCTAGGCCCCGAAAAATGCAAGGAGGCCGCCAGGCTCGTCCCTTCCCCCAGCCTCAAGGCGCTAGGAGCCAGTAACCTGACTGTGTCCCAGGCTCAGCTTTCAGAGCAGAGGGGCCGTCCAGGAACCATGTCCGGATGGCACCCCTAGCCTGAGCCCCAGAGGTTGCCTGGCTTCCTTGGGTTTGAGCTCCTCACTGGCTGGAGGTTCAGGGCAGGTGCAGGCTGTGTTTCTGCCCCCAGGGGTGGCCCTTCACTCAGCGTCCCGGGAGGGTGGATCCCTTCTGATTGGCTGCGTGTGAACCACGTGTCCAACCTCGCCCTCTGGGAGGCGGCGATTGACAGCAGCCCTGAGGCCTTGCAGGGGGCTGGGTTAGAAGGGTCCCAGTACCCACTTCCACTTCCCCAGGAGCTAGAATTTCAAATTCAGAAAATTCAAAACATGAAATGAAAACGGGGGTGGGTCTCAAATGATCAAAACAAAGTGGGTCTTGAAGCCCAGAAACACGAAGGTGGAAGGGCTGAGGGACAAGACAGGCTTGGGGTGTCTTTTCACCCACCTGTGAGTGTTAGTGGCTCCAGAGGAGGAAAAGGTCTGGCAGTGATGAGTATGATGAATAAATAATAGTGGAAATTTTCTCTGATCAGGAGTCTGCTGAGTGAAAGGGCTGAGGGCATTCCAGGCAGAGTTCTTTAAAGAAAAAAAGACACACCCTTGGTATCTCCTGGTGATATTCCCAAAATCTACAGATAAAAATCTCAGCAGCTTTCTGATAGAATAGATAAGTTATTGACAAAGGTGAATAGAGAGGCTGCCCGTGGATTTCTCATCTGTGGCGCTGGAAACCAGAAGATTCGTGGCCGTGGCCAGAGTTAATGGCCTGGACTCAGTCCTCCCCAGAGCTGAGGACTGTCTTCCCTGATGGCATTAAAGAAACAGGTTTTGCAGATGAGTGGGAGTTCAGATGTGTTACCTCTGAGGGTCGTAATCAAGAGAGGCTCCAGTGATGAAAGTAGAGACCCCAAGATGGAATAGCCCTGAGTCTCGTGAGTTTTGAAAGTGAAGGTCAGTGGAAAATGGGCAGGGTGGGAATGTGCTTGGAGATGGCTCTTGGGGGTAAAGTGGGGCAGTAGGGGGCAGAGAAAGCCTCCTACTCTCACCCCATGGTGGGGCGGTGATAGTTCTTAATCCTGTTTCTACATGCAGGTTCCCTGATAGCTCAGTTGGTAAAGAATCCACCTGCAATGCAGGAGACCCCGGTTCGATTCCTGGGTCGGGAAGATCCCCTGGAGAAGTGAAAGGCTACCCACTCCAGTATTCTGGCCTGGAGAATTCCATGGACTGTATAGTCCATGGGGTCACAAAGAGTTGGGCACGACTGAGCGACTTTCACTTCCACATGTGGATTATGAGTGTTCCAAAGCAGAGGTAACTCTTAGCTTAACTAACAAATTAACAAGCAGAAAGGGAATAAATAGTAGTTTGCCTGAACTCACAAAAATGTTGAAAGCAAAAGGGTCATACCCATAAAATAAGGCGGAACTGTCAGATCTCTTGTCTTGGCAAAACCTGAAACTGCTTCAGACTGGGGTAGAAACCAAAACCCAGCTGTAGTTTGTTTATGGAACATCTAAAAGTAGTAAGACAAAGTTGAAAATTAGGAATGTCACCAAACTATACCAGATACTTGTGACCAAAAGCAAAGCAGGATTGGCAAAGCTAGTATCAAATAGAGTGGACTTTAAGGTCTGAGGGCTTCCCTTGTGGCTCAGCTGGTAAAGACTCCGCCTGCAATGCGGGAGACCTGGGTTCAGTCCCTGTATTCTGGCCTGGAGAATTCCATGGACTGTATAGTCCACGGGGTCATAAAGAGTCAACGATTGAGCGACTTGGACTTTTAAAGTCTGAAGCATTAAACAAGGTGAAAAGGGCATTATATAAGGATTAAAAATACAATATATGAAGAAACATAATAACTCCTATTTACTTGTGGACATCCACTAACGTGGTAACCAGCTCTGATGGGGAGCAGGAGAGATGAATGGTTAAGAAGGAGGGCTCCAGGCCCAGAAGGTTTGGGTCCAGATCTTGGCTCCACCACTTACTGTGTGGTGTGGACATACATCACTTTCCTGTGCCTCAGTTTCCTCATCTGTAAAATGGGCTAATAGTCCTTTATATACATAAGAGGGAGAGTTGGTACACATACAAAGCTAAGAATGGTAACCAGCAGGTAGAAATATGATTGTGACTCAATGAATATTAGCCTGTTTAATTGCTCTATTATACATTGAAATATAGCAATAAATATAGTAATAAATCACCAATGCAATGGACTTGGGGAGATGGTGAGGGACAGGGAAGCCTGGCGTGTTACAGTCCATGGAGTCACAAAGAGTCGGACACGACTGGGTGACTGAACAACAACATAGCAATAAAAGCAGCGCTGTAAGACGTACACACACGTGGAGTTCCAGGGAGGACAGCACGGGGTCAGTGGGGCAGTTAGCACACCTGTCTGAGCCTCACTCTCCTCCGTGAAGCGGAGTAACAAGACTGGTCCACAGGGATGTTCGTAACCTGCACAGCACACAGAACTCTGACAGGCGCTTGTGAGCCATTTGGGGTGGGGGTTGGGGGGGCTTGTCCTTTTCTGGGAGGGTGGGTCTTTACAGGCCCTAGGCTGATACATAACCAAGCACGAACACAGAGTCATGGGCGGCCACCCCGGGCACAGCGGGGCTCCCATGCAGGGCAGGGGAGCGGTCAGCCAGCAGCTGCGATGCCTCACGTCCGGGTCGGCACTCCAGGACCGGGGGCAGCCCTGGGGAAGGCTGACTCTCAATCCTGTACAAGTGCAGAGGGTGAGGCTCAGACGCTGAGTCCTTTGTGAGCTCAGCCAGCTGGGAAATGACAGAGGGAGAATTCAAGCCTGGGTGAGGGGCTGGCCCCCAGTCCAGAACCCCTGGAGCCCCCGACTGTGCCAGGCATTTGGAGCGGTGGGAACATCTGAGAAGTGGCTTCGACAACCTCCCAAGGGACACCTTCTCTCTTTTTTTAAAACTTTTTATTTTATTTTGGAGCATAGCTGATTAACAGTATTGTGAGACGTGGACAGTGAAGGGACTCAGCCATACATATCCATATATCCATTCTCCCCCAAACCCCCTCCCATCCAGGCTGCCACATAACATTGAGCGAAGGTCCCTGTGCGCTACAGGCGGTCCTTGTTGGTTATCCATTTTAAATACAGCAGTGTGTGTACACGTCCATCCCAAACTCCCTAACCATCCCTTCCCCTCACCCTTCCCTCTGGCAACCCTAAGTGCGTCCTCAAAGTCTGTGAGTCTATTTTGTAAGGAAGCTTATTTGTATCATTTCCTTTTAGATTCCACATACAGGGGATGTCGTACAGTATTTCTCCTTCTGTCTGACTTACTTCACTCAGTAGGACACTCTCTGGGTCCATCCAGGTTGCTGCATCAAGGGGCACCTTTTTCTGTCCCCTGCAACGGGCAGCCGGACGGAGGGAGAGTCACCAGCTTTGAGTCTGACAGATCCTGGCTTGGCCTTGGGACGGCCACCCTCCCCTCACCCCACCCCAAGGATCAGGGAGCTCCCGGGATGTGCCAGGCACATCCTTGCTGGACCCATGCCCCACACGGCGGTTTCTGGGGCGTCTGGGTCACGGGCTGTCCTTTTTCCCCCCAGGTGTGGCAGGCGTGCTGGTGGGACACCCGTTTGACACGGTCAAGGTGAGTCTCATCACCGTTTTATCCTCAGGCCATGGTGGAGGTGCAGACATTGGAGGGAGGCTTGCAGGGTCGGGGCGGTGGGATACCCCTTTCTGGTGACCATCTCAGGAGCCCCCCAAGGTCCTCCCACAGGTCAGAACGTAGAATCAGGCTTCTCCCTGATGCCCAGGTGAGCAGCGGCCTGTCCAGCAGGCCGGCCGGGCCTTTCCTCCTGGTCTGTTCCTCCATCTCCCAGCCGGGGCTGAACTTGGAGGTCCACCCTGGTGCTTGGCCACCTGGGACAGAGGGACTGCCCAGAGCCAGGGGCATGTATCCTGTCCTCACCCAGAACGCCTCCGACTGCTTCCTGCAGGCAAGGATTCAGAGAGAATCACAGAGAGATCACACATCGGCCTTTCCCGTGACCACGATCCCCCCAGAGTGGTGGGCCTTGGGGCTGACACGCTGCCTGGGCATTTCTCGGGGGGCTGCAGAGTGTAGCTCCGGGGAGGCGCCCCCGCGCCCCCCTCCAAGAGCCCACTCCTTGGCACGGGGTTGGGGCCTGGGTTCTCCGAGGCCTCAATGGAAACCAAGAGAGTCCACGTTCTCAGCTGAAAACTCCCAAATAAGATCTGCCCTCTGTTGTTGGGGATTTTGTCCTTAAACTAGCCAAGCCGGGCCCCTTCCTCGCGGGCTTCCTTGGGACCCGGCGAACTGCAAGCGGTGGGCCCTAGGCCAGACCCTGTAGCCCGCTGAACCCTGAACTTGGCTCCTCTTCCCTCAGGGGCGAGAGTGGAGCAAAGACAAGGATGTCACCCTTGTGTAGGTGGGCTTGAGAGACCCCCATCTCCTCCTTTTTTAGGAACCCAGGTGTCCCTGGGCCGAGAACAGGTCCTGTGACTACAGTAGGGCTGCATTTCCTCCAGCACAGGCCCCAAGCACGTGCTCTGACCTTAGATAGGTCTGTCCCAGTGGCCCAATGGTTAAGACTCTGTGCTTTCACCGCTGTGGGCCGGGGCCCCATCCCTGGTCGGGGAACTAAGATCCTCCAAGCCACTCCAAAAACAAACAAGACTGGTCTCTCTCTGGGCCTTGCGCAGCTAGCTCCTGGCCCCGTGGCAGCCCACCTGCGGGTCACTTTACCTCCGGGCCAACCGTTCTGACCTGCACAGTGAGGGGCTGGCGAGATTTCCCGAAGCCTCCGGGCCCAGCACAGCGGTGTGGTTTGTGCTGGATTGAATTGTTAGTTCCGAAGGGCATGGATTCCTTCCATCCCAGAAGGCAAGGCCAGGCTCTCTTGCCATGCAGCGGGCCCCCGAGTCCCTCCAGGGCTGGGGGAGCCTGTCCACGTGGGGCCATGGTCATGTGCTGTGCGTGCCTCTCAAAGCTGCATCTAGCCCAGAAGTGTCTCTGATTCACTTCCTCTGCCCAGCTCTGCAGAGGCCTCTCTGATCTGGGACTCGGCCAGGCCTTCTTCAGGCGCCTCCTTGGGGTCCCCCCCGACCCCCCACCCCCGACCCCCCCCAGGTCAGTCCCTCCAGGCTGGGGGCCACTTTGTTCTGATGCCTCCAGCTCTCTCTGAGCTCCTGAGCCATGACCAGTGCCCCAGGGGTAGCCTGAGCTCAGGAACCCCTCCACCACTGGGTTCCTGCCCTGCCCCACTTTACCTGGCACCTGGGGGTGGTCTTTGAGGAAATCCATTTGTAACTGTTTTTGTTTTTGCCACTGAGGCCCACCAGCATCACCACTGCGCAAACCCATCTTTAAAAAGCCAAGCCTTTTTAAAGGGGAAGAAAACCCACCCCTAGCAAGTCACCACTGTCACTCAAGCTCTGACCCTTCTTGTCCACCCCCCACTCCCATGCGCTCAGACACTGTGACCTTGTGCTGATTCCAGGTAGAGCCACTCAGCTCTTTTGGTTTAACTTAATGCCAATGGCTTGCCCCCCCCCACCACCGCCCCCGGCTGTTTTGCATTATAGAAGTTAAGCATTCTTGGGACTTCCTCAGTAGTCTAGTGGCTAAGCTTCTAATGCCAGGGGCCTGAGTTTGATCCCTGGTCAGGGAACTAGATTCCACTTGCCACAACTAAGGCCTGGCACAGCCAAATAAATAAATATTAAAAAATAATAATAATAAGCATTCTCAGTCAAAGAAAACAGGAAAACGCTGGGATTTTTTTAAATGTGTTTTAATTAAAACACATACGTACACACTTTTTCTGGTTAGCTTTCTATTGCAAAAGTAATGTAAGGTGTAAAAGAATGTTCACCATAACAGACACATATAAACAAAACAAAACAAAAAAACAAAAACTAGTCCCTTATGTAACCTTTCCCCCAACCCTTGTTAATGATTTCTACCAGAAAACAGACATGCACACAGGCCCATATATATTCCTGGCTTTTGGCAAAAGTGGGATTTACCCCCCAGCTGTGCAAGTGGTCATTTTCACTGAACTGTTTCACATGGAGACCCACGCCCACGTGCTCACCAGCGAACCACAAACCTGCAAGGAGAAATGAGGCAGCCCTCCCCGCAGAAACCCCCCTCCCCTCCTAACACCTCTGCCCTCCACTCTTCCAGGCGGCCAGCACCCTAACTTCTCATCCACAGTCCTGTTTTCCCTCTTTATAAACCTCATGAACTTGGACCTGGGTTTCCGAATGCATGAGGGGACACCCACGTTGCAGTTCCATCCACACCATCTCGTGACTGCGACCTTGGCAGTGTGTCCCCCCGGGTCCTTGGAACAGAAATTTGAGTCCAAGACGTGGTTCACCTCTGTGGCACCCAGAACCACAGCCACTGTCCATGGACACCACCTTCACACGCGTTTCTGTGGACGCGTCTGGGCCCTCTCTTACCAGGGAGCAGCCGGCTCCGGGAGGGGGCGGGGACGGGGAGGCCAGGGCCTGGCCTCGGGGGTCCCGGGCCTGGATGTGATGTTGAAATTTTGTGTTCTTTAACTGCCTTTACTTTCTGAGCTAGGGGCTGTCTCCGTCCATAGCAAAATGTAACTTTGTTGTAGATGAGCGTAAGCCTCATCCCGGAGAGCGCTAGTAAGTACAGACCAGGTGAACCCAACGCTTCTCTTCTCTGCCCAAACCAGACCCCGGGCCTGGACCCCGCCCCACCACCCCGCACCCACCAGACTGCCCTCCCAGACTGGCAGGGGCAGGGAGGGTATGAGATGAGCTTGCACCCAAGCACAGGTCCCAGGGTGGGGACCCTGGGGGCTGGTTGAGAAACAGTAGCCCCGTCTCGATCGGGGGTTCTTTAGGTGGGGTCTCCCAGCCCTGAGGGGGAAGCTGGGAGCCTCCTGGGGTTGATGTATAAATGACTAACTTTTCCAGGGGTGGGTCCGTCAATCCTCCAGTGAGATCCTACAACCCCCAAGTGTTAAAAACCTCAACTCTGGATTCTATAATACTCAGGCCACATTTTACCCCAGACCTGGTTCCCCCAAGCCTCCCAGATGGTGAGTGCCCATCCCAGCCCCGGGGGTCAGACGCAAAGGGGAGATCCCCTGCAGCCTCTTGTGGGACCTGAGCTGGCCCGAGCCTTGGCGTGAAACCAAGTCCAGCCTGCCAGGATGGCACCGGGGTGTCCGTAAGTCTGACCCACGGAGGGCAGGGCACAGCTCCGTTTCACATCATCTCTGCTCACACTGCCTCCTTGATGCTGGTGTCAGGGGCCACAGGAGGAAAAGCCAGTCCTCCAGAGACCCCCGGACGTCAAAGGGAAAGTGGGAAGCCTCCCATCACAGAAGCAACCTGAGGCAGAGCTCAGTGTTCTTGAGTGGTTGTGCTCTTCTCCTCCGAGCTGGCAGCCAGGGTGGGGAGGGGTGCTGGGGTGGTCAGCGGCCTCTCAGAGCAGTGGTCGCCAGCCTTGAGGTCCCTGTGTACAGGCATGAGATTTCTTTTTTGCTTACAACACATTTTTTTCTGTAAGTGCATTCGCCAGCACCCTCAACCCCACTCTGGCCACGACCAACACAGCCCCTCATGTCCCTGGAGAGGACAGCCTTGACCAAGTTGCAGGATCTTTCTGAGCCTCAGCCTTCCCATCTTTGAAACAGGAGTGACCCCAACCCACTTCAGCCAGTGATCACGACGGAGCCCCTCTCCACTGCCCGGCACAGAGAGGCGCTCACGCCATGGCCAGAGCTGTAGTGGGGATCGCGTCTGAGTCAGAGCTAAGCCCAGGGCCGAACCTAGCTCACCCGCCTCCCCCAGACACAGGAAGAAAAGATACTCCTGCTCTGACCCTGGGGGATAAGTGTCAAGGACTGAGATAAGCTCTCTGTGGACAAAAAGTGCTTTCACAGCGAGGCTCTGGCCTGCTGGGCTCCGAGGGCCCCCGAGCCCTGGAGCTGCTGACTTGGTCTCAAGAAGGCGACCAGTGGCTCTCCGGTCACCACTTTACTAACTCATGACCACTGCCCTCCCCAGGGGCCACCAGCAGAAACCAAGCGGAAGGCCCGCAAGGCCCAAGGCTCCTCACTGAACACCCAGTGGGCATTCCCAGCCCCGATGCAGAGAGCACGTGGTGGGGTGTTAAGACTGGACACCCCTTGGGCATCGGCCAGGACTTGCTTCTGGGACGGTGGGAGGTCTCAGGAGATGCCTTAGGCCCCACTGTCAGTACCTCGTGCAGAGATAGTGAACAGGGGTCTTGGGGACCCCCACCCCTCTGCAGCTGGCTGTCTCCGTGACTGTTTGTCCACAGACAGCCCTCCCTAAAAATGGCACAGATATCCAGCCCCCTCCCTCGGATTCCAAAAGCCATAGAAAGCTCCTTGGCTCCCTGCCTCATGGGTCCAACCTCAGGCCTCCTGGAGAGAGTCTCCCCGGGGGTCCTGCGTGCCGGCCCCAGAGAGCCGGGCACTCTGACTCCACGCGGCCACTTGACTCACACTGGGTCCTCCGTCCAGGTGCGGCTTCAGGTCCAGAGTGTGGAGAAGCCCCAGTACCGAGGGACCTTGCGCTGCTTCGAGGCCATCATCAAGCAGGAGGGTGTGAGTGCCCAGGGCCCGTGGGCGTCAGGTGGGGTGCCAGCCTCAGCACTGCCTCTGTGGTGCTGTGGGTCTGGACCACAGGGGCTTCCCTGACGGCTCAGCTGGTAAAGAATCCGCCTGCGAGGCTGGAGACCCCAGTTCGATCCCTGGGTCAGGAAGATCCACTGGAGAAGGGAACGGTTACCCACTCCAGTATTCTGGCCTGGAGAATTCCATGAACTGTATAGTCCGTGGGGTCAAAAAGAGTGGGACACGCCTGAGCCACGTTCCCTTTCACTTTCTTTCACTGGACCACAGGCGGTGGAGCAGGGCACCCCGCCTCTGTGATGCTGTGGGCCCTGGACCACAGAGCCGGGAGAGGAGGTGGTGGGCAACTCAGAGGCACAGCCAGGCTTTGGAAACGGGAGGGCGGGCATGCACGGGTCTCTCAGACTGAGAAACTGGGTTCTGATCAAATTCTGCTTGGTCCTCATGAGCAGCTGAGGTGGGTCGGGGCAGCCACCACCGGCATGGAGGGTCCCCGGGGGAGGTGGGCATGAGCAGCTCTATAGACTCCAAGCCGGAGCGCACCTGACGCCTCTCCGTGCGCCCCGCAGGTGCTGGGCCTGTACCGAGGCCTGGGGTCGCCGCTCCTGGGGCTGACCTTCATCAATGCGCTGGTGTTCGGAGTGCAGGGCAACACCCTGCGGGCGCTGGGCCGGGACTCGCCACTGAACCAGTTCCTGGCGGGCGCGGCGGCAGGGGCCATCCAGTGCGTCATCTGCTGCCCCATGGAGCTGGCCAAGACGCGGCTGCAGCTGCAGGAGGCGGGCCCGGCGCGCACCTACCGCGGGCCCCTGGACTGCCTGGCACAGATCTACCGGCAGGAGGGCCTGCGCGGCGTCAACCGGGGCATGGCATCCACGCTGCTGCGCGAGACGCCCAGCTTCGGCGTCTACTTCCTCACCTACGACGTGCTGACGCGCGCGCTGGGCTGCGAGCCGGGCGACCGCCTGCTGGTGCCCAAGCTGCTGCTGGCGGGCGGCACGTCGGGCATCGCGTCCTGGCTCTCCACCTACCCCGTGGACGTGGTCAAGTCGCGGCTGCAGGCCGACGGGCTGCAGGGGGCGCCACGCTACCGGGGCATCGTCGACTGCGTGCAACAGAGCTACCGCGCCGAGGGCTGGCGCGTCTTCACGCGGGGGCTGGCCTCCACGCTGCTGCGCGCCTTCCCGGTCAACGCCGCCACCTTCGCCACGGTCACCGTGGTGCTCAGCTACGCGCGCGGCGAGGAGGCCCGGCTCGAGGGCGACGCCGGCTCCGCCGCCCTGGCCCAGCCCTCCAGCCTGTGATGCCCGCCGCCCCACCTTCCCGGGGGCCGCTTTTCCAAAACGCAGCCCAGACTCTTCCAAAACTGTAAATGGGTTCCCCGCCGACCGCCCTGCCCCAGACGCCCGAGACTCCATGGACTGTGGGCTCCGTCAGACCTGGGTTGGATTCCACTCCTCAGCTGGGTGGGCCTTGGCTGCAGTGCTTGACCTCCTTTGGCTTTTCTTGGCTGTGAAATAAGGAGCGTGTTCCCCTGTGGTACTGTCAGGAAGCTCAGAGATGCTGCCTGTGGAGCACCCAGCCTGGCACTGTTACTGGCTTCTGGAGTCTTCCAGAAACCCAGCCAACACTCCAACCCTTCCCTGGGATCCCGGCCACACCTCCAGGGGGGTTTCTGAAGACCCACCAATGGGCTTGCCAGTGGCTCATTAACTCTCAACTCCTCCACCTACAGAGCTCCAGGAACACTTCTAGGCCACCTGTTCGGTCTGTGTTAGGATCGGAGGAGCAGCTCGGGCTCCTTCTGGGGTCCCAGAGCCCAGCCCCCTGCCAGCACACCCCAGCTTCTCCAAGCTGCAAGGCTGGGAATACCCCTACTCCCGCCACTCCCACTGGAGGGTAACCTGGGGACCACTAAGAAGCCATGGAACTTTTTGGAAGTTCCACATTAGCTTAGGAGCTGGGGTGGGGGAGCAGACATAGGTCAGTGGAAGGGGTGATCACCACAGTTAAACAGAGCCATGGCAAGGGGGGGGCGTCTTACCACTCTCTGAGCCTCAGGATGCCCATCTGTAAAATGGGGACATGACTCAGCTGATGTCTGTGGCCCAGGCCCACTGCCAATGGCCGGGCTTCTCCAAGGTTCGCAGAGGGGTCAGCAGGGAGAACCCTGCAGGACCCCTGAGCCCTGGGAAATGGTATCTTTCCCAAGCAGTCAGTCTCAATGCTTTGCGTTCCCGTGAGTCCCAGGCGGGGCCTGTGAGTGGGCACAGGTCTGACCAGTTTGGGCCCCTCCAGGCCGAAGGGCATCTGCGCCCACGCGGCCGAGGCCGTCACTAGAAGCCGGCCGGTGGTGTGAGGTCCGGCAGCCTGGGCACAGCTGGCACCTCGTGGCCGGGAGACCAGACAGGGAGGCGAATGCTTTTGCACAAGTTGGAGGTGACTGTGGCCTCCACGGTGACTGGAGGTGACTGGCCCTACTCCCGGGAGGCAGGCTGTGCTCAAGGAAGCCAGGATGACCCTCCCCCCAATCCCTCCCCACCCCCCCCTCACCCCCACGTGGCATCATTGTTGTACAGAAACCTCCGAGGGAATAAAGTGCTCTTTGTTTTTTAAGAGAGTGAGGTTTCATTTGTGTATCACAGAGGAAGGGGGTTCACCCCCACCCCCTCACAGGAGTCGGAGGGGCCGGCTTGGTGGTTGGCCTGACCCAGGCCAGCGACAGGGCACCTCCAGACCCTGAGTTTCCCCATCTACAAAATGGGGCTAATGGAGGCGTGAGGGGCGGACTGAAGTTCCCCAACATGCTGGGTGCAGCCTCACCTAGGTAGTGAGCGCATCTCCGTCTGTTGTGACCCAGGGAGGGGAGGCCCGGTCCCTGCCCAGCGGGAGGGTGGGCAGGGCAGGCGCGTGGGCAGGGTAGGCACCTGCACAGGGCAGGCGCTGTGTGCCATGAGCTCCCTGGAAGGACTGAGGCGGGAGGGCTCGGGGGACCCTAGCTGAGGCCAGAATCCAGAGGAGGGAAGGGCAGAGGGGAGCTCTGCGGGGAGGATGGACTTGTCCTGAGCTTGACTTAGACCAACCTAAGGATCCCTGAGGGCTTCCTGAAGGAGGCCTTCCGTGCCAGAGGGGTGTCTTCCTGTCCAACCCACCCCCATTTCTGCTCAGCCTCCCGGAATCAATCCGGGCCACCTTGGGTCTCCACAGCTCCGAGCCTGGAGACTCCTTTCAACCGCTGAGCCAGAAACCTCCGCCCCTCGCAGAGGAGAGAAGAGAGCTGGAGAGAGAGGCCCAGCTTCCCCCCAGAAGCGCTCTGGGGTCCTGTGCCCTTTCAGCCCGCCGAATCCCCCATACCAGCCTGTGACGTCAGGCTTGTCTGCAGTTTCCAAGGACAGGAGGGCGGGAAGGAGCTGGCTGGTGACCCCAGGCCGGGTGTCCTCAGACAGGTTAACCTAGGAGGGCCCCCCACGCCCTGGTCCTAGGCAGCAGCTCCTTCCTCAGTGAGGTACCTCTGCCTTGCATTTCTCTTTCCTCTGAAAGAAACCAGGCAGATGCTAGAGCCCAGGGTCCCCGCTCCCAGCCTTGCTGCTAATGGTCAGACACCAAGAGAGGAGGGGTTAGGAGAGGTGTCGGGTTTACACGGGTCTTTTGACATTTTGTTTTCTCCCTGATCTGAATTTTATTTATTTCTTTATTAACATGGTAAAAAGTAAAAAATGCAAGCGGAACCCAGGCTGTGCAGTGAGAAGGAAGACCTGACTCCTGCCTCTTCCTGGCTGTGTGCCCCTCCTGGGGCGTCTTGGGCAAGTCCCAGCACGTGGGAACGTCCTCTGGCCCTGGGCAAAGCCAGGCCCAGGTCCTGACCATTCTGTTCTTCGCTGTCTTCAATTGGCAGTTATCTTGGAGACTGGAGATTGTAGCAGTTTCCAAGGCTGCCGTAACAACGGCCCACAGACCGTGTGGCTAAAACAACAGAGACTTCTTCTCTAAGCTTCTGGAAGCCAGAAGTGTGACATTCAGGCGTCAGCAGTGTTGGTTGCTTCTGGAGGGCCCGAGCAGGAATCTCTCCTGGCCTCTCCCAGCGCCTGGTGGCCGGCAGTCCTTGGTTCATAGGCAGGTTGCTGCAGTCTCTGCCTCCATCCTCAAGTCATCTTTTCCCCTGTGGGTCTGTTGCCTTTTTTGTTACTTTTTTACCCACACCAGCTGACTTGCAGCATCTTAGTTCCCTGATAGGGATTGAACCCGGGGCCCCCAGCAGTGAACGCCTGGAATCTTAGCCACTGGACTTCCAGGGTCCCTGTCCTCTTTTCAGGAGGACACCAGGTGTTGGCTTAAGGACCCGCTTACTCCAGGATGACCTAACTAATAACACCTGCAAAGACCATCATCAAATGTCACATTCACAGGCACCGGGGCGAGGAGCTCACGGTGTCTTCTCTGGGGACTCAATTCAACCCACAACAGACATCTTTCTTTATCAGTGTGTTCCAACTGACCACGTTTTTGTGAACAGCTGCATGGCATTTCATCTGGTGACCATCCCTTACTTTATTCTTCCAGCTACAACAAAGGTCCGTCTAGTCAAAGCTGTGGTTTTTCCAGTAGTCGTGTGTAGATGTGAGAGTTGGACCATAAAGAAAGCTGAGCACTGAAGAATTGATGCTTTTGAACTGTGGTCTTGGAGAAGACTCTTGAGAGTCCCTTGGACTGCAAGGAGATCCAACCAGTCCATCCTAAAGGAGATCAGTCCTGAATATTCATTAGAAGGACTGATGTTGAAGCTGAAACCCCCAATACTTTGGCCACCTGATGCGAAGAACTGACTGATTGGAAAAGACCCTAATGCTGGGAAAGATTGAGGGCAGGAGGAGAAGGGGATGGCAGAGGATGAGATGGCTGGATGGCCTCACCGACTCAATAGACATGAGTTTGAGCAAGCCCCGGGTGTTGGTGATGGACAGGGAAGCCTGGCGTGCTGGAGTTCATGGGGTCGCAAAGAATCAGACACGACCGAGCGACTGAACGACATGGGTAAAAGCGCCTCGCTCCACACAGAGCTAGCTGGGGCCCTCACAGCCCTCGAGGGTGGTAGGTTCTTGTGACCGCAGGGACAATAGTCAGCCCTTGGCACACACAGCCCCTTTAATGCTCCCAATAGCTCTTGAAAGTCAGCACTGGCACCCTCATTTTGCAACAGAGGACACCATTTGGGGGGCCTGTCTAGGGTCACGAGACCAGGGGCTGCTGGGGCCGGAGCCCCAAGGCCCTACAGGTCCGCAGCCCTCACCGCGCCCCTGCCCCGGCCCAGGCCGGCCTCCACCCACCGGCAGAAGCTTCATAGGAGCCAGGAACAGCGGGGCTGTGCCCTGGCCTCTGATGGCCCACTCCCCAGTTCCGTGACTGGAGTGGAGCTCAAGCCACGGAGGCGCCCGGGACAGGGCCAGCTCCACTCAGTCAGCCTGGGCCTCAAGTTCTGTCCTGCAGGGGCGCCCAGGCCTTGACCTCCTGACACCCAGCAGTGTCCCCGGTCACAGCGTCCACCGTGATCAGGGCACACCCCTGGAGGCCACTGGGAACGGAGCCTATGCAGACCCTCGCTCAGCCCCTGGAACTACCCTCTCCCCCCCCCACCACCCCCACACACGTGTACACACCCAGAACTGCCAGGTTGGGTTTTTCCAGATGAGGCAGGGGTGAAGGAAGGCAAGGAGGCAGAAGCGAGTGAAGCCCAGACATGGGGCTGAGAGGCCAGTGGTGATAGGTGATCTGCTGGGAGCCTGCAGGCTGAGGAAGAGTGACCATCACAGATCAGGACCCCCAGGGGCAGCCTGGAGGGGCAGGTGTCCGTGAAGAGAAAGTTTGGGGGCAGCCACGGGCAGGGGCAGCGTCATCGGGAGGAAGCAGCCAAGGCACAGGCAGGCCAGATGACGACGGACGGACGATCCCCAGGCAGACACTGAGGTCCCCGGGGCTGCTGGGAGCAGAGGACCCGGCACCCGAGTTGGGTGACTGCCACAGGGTGGGGCTTGGAAAGGGATGAGCAGCCCACCCCCTGGCCTGGGGGTTTCTCTGCCCCCCTCACTGAAGCCTCCACCTCTCCCACCCTCCAGGTGCTAGGTCCTGACCTCATCCAGGGTGATCAGGCTTCCTGGGGCCACTGCTCCCCCTGCCGTATTCCCCATGGACAGGTGTCCCCCCTCCCAGATCTGGGCGCAGCCCCAGGCCTTGATCAGATCGCCCCTCCTGCATGCCTCTGCTCCCCTCCAACCCAGGCCGCCCTGCAAGGGGCGTTCTCCTGGGGGAC